TTTGTTCAGACACTTTGGTACTACGCTATGAAATAAAACAGTAGGTAAGTTTAATGAAATTTAATTAAAAAGCATTAACTATATTACGCAGAAAATAGTACGTTAAAGCAAAAACATATATTTTATAAGGCTAATTTATTCCAAACAATAAGAAAAGCATTTTAACGTTTAGACTTAGCTGCCTACATTCAGGATTGTTTTATATCTGCCTTGAATTCACTTGTATTTTCCATGCGTGTAATTACTAAACTACTGCGCTATCCTACATTCTAAGCAGGTATGTCTGTATGCAGAAAAAAGCAAGGTATAAAACTTTACCTTTAAACATTTTACTCTATGTTAAAATGAATAAAAGTATTTAAAAATCTTTTCTTAATATTAAAAAAATAATATTAACAATAGCCGATTTAAAGATAACGAAATGTAAATATTTAAGATAAAAAGCTGATCGTTTAAAGTACTTCGTCTTAAGCAAGAAAATACACAATTATTCGGTCGGAAAAAAACTCTGTGCCAGCTCTTTTTTATATCTTATTATAATCTGGATAAGTTATATATTTGCTTGCGTTTCTTTTGTTCAATCTCTATTAGGATAATACATTCTTACGATAGAGATATTTTTATAGTATTTGATTCAGATATCGTATGTTATTTATGTTCATGTAGATTCATATTGCTTATATATATTTAGTTGTAACGTTATATTCTCCATGTTGTGATTTATAGCAATACACATTTTATATTACTAATCTTACTAATATTATAAATGCGAATGTTTATATGGATGTTTGTTTGAAGGTATCTTCAGAACGCGTGAACGGATCTCGAAATTTGACATACATATAGAACATTTTTTTTTATATCATTAGTTGGCAAACGAGCGAGCGGCCACCTGAAATCGCTGAAATAGCGAACCGTTGCCCATAGACATACGCAATTGCATATGCGTTGCCTACCTTTAATCGACGGAGGAGAGGATGCACAGAAAGAAAACATTTCCATGCATCTTCTCATCCGGAAAATCCACTTCCTCTTCCCATCCTTTCCTTATAAAAACAGGGTAGGAAGGGAAAGAGGACTAAATTAAGCCTCCGGGACGCACACTCATCAGACGAAACGCGGAATTGCTTCCACTTGACGCCTGTCTTCTGTGTGGTCGTGGTATTTCACCGGGCGAACAGGGCCAATTCGTGCGAAGATGTTAAAGCGGGCTCTACCACTGTTGAAAACATGTACATAGTCTGAAAGAACACATAGGCTACTTCATGCGTATGTATTCTAAATATATAATGTAAAAACATTTCAGGAATAATGTTTATTTAACGATGTAATACGCTTATTTCGCTTACGTACAAGAGCTAAAATATTCCTTATAAATGTTAATTTGATTTACATTTTCTTTACTCTTGTTATGTTAGGATTATGTTAAGTACATTTCAAATTAAGCTAATCTTACATAATATGTCAGCATTCGTTATCTTTTGTGTTTATTTTATGGAATAAATTACCTGTAAATATTACCAATAAAGAAAAACATTATTTTGAATCGAATTTCAGTTTCCTTTGATAATTTCCAATCAAAATTTAATTCGCATGCATTAAAATTAATTTAATTCTGTATCTTAAGTGCAAAAGAAGTTTCCAATAGTCGTGTCACTTGACCGTACGAAAGTTCACGCCGTACACTTCGCTACAAGAGTCTTAAAGTCGCACTTTATTTAAAAGGTACTTGACAAAGAAAACCAGTTTTATTTCTTAAAAAGTACAATATCATATAGATATTTATTTATGTCCTTGACTGTACGTGTGATTTCTTCTGATAAAACGACAGTCTAGATGTGTACGAACAATCCTTACCTCGTTACTTAAACGAGTATTATAAGAAAGAAACTCTGTTTCGATTTCACAGCAAAACTACTTAACCGATTTAAATGAAATTTGATACAAAGATAGTTTAGAAACTGAGTCGAAGAGAAGCGAGAAGGACCGTGACATTCGTCTCGCTTATAGAAGTTTCTCTCCAACAAAAGTTTCTCGCTTGTGAAGATCGTGTGTCGGGGTGTTTCTCGCTTATCCAGATTCGACTGTAATTACAAACGCGCGAAAAATAGTTTTCTTTTATTCGTCTGGTAAAAAGTACAAATAAAAATTAATGTATACTATTTTTTTCTTTTTCATTCGTATAGAAATTTAATTAGTTAATGTTATAAGTATAAAAAAAACACTTATACTAATCTCCAGTTTTAGTTTCATAAAATAATTATATCTTAGTCGGCAGTTTAGTATATTTATTTTGATTAACGAGCTGCAATATTTTTCTACAGCCTTATTTCGCTGAAAATTGAACAATTTAATTTCACGTATTAATTAGAAGAGAAAAGATGATAGGAAAATTATAATACCTATCATTTATTTCTAAAATTTCAAAAAAGATTAAAAATAAATATTATTTTTCCCGCTAGCTTCAGTAAAACTTTAACTTGAGTTTGTATCTAGAGTAAACTTAGAACATTAGTAACTTAGTAACTTATTTGGCTACATTTCTGAAGTCAGAGGTCTATTCAAATTCCTGTCAAGCTTCAGTGTAGTCGCACCCTTATCTGAATAATTTATGAGTCAAATGGAATGGATCAATTTGTGTATGTTTTTATTTCAAACAGCTCTTGAGAAAACGATACTATTTTGCAGTCTATTTTTTTTATAAATAATTTTCTTGTGAAATTTTTATTAATAAATTTTCCTATGTATACGTATGTTTTAAAATTCAATAAACTTACTATAGCTCGGAAAACACGAATTGGCATCTCTCTCGATAAAATCTGTCTAGTCGTTCAAGCTAAAAGAGGTGACAATGGATTTGACATACATACATACAAACTGACATTCCCGTAAGTTTTATCCTTGTCAGTCAGGTAAAAAAATTGTTCTGCTATTTATTGCTAGTGTTACTAAAGAAATAATACAAAAGTATAAAAATCCTTCGATATTATTAAATTTCATTTTCAACGTTTATTATTGGAATTTATTTTCTCGTCGAAATTTATCTTGAAAACGATTCAAATGAGGTCTGACAAATGACGCTATGATCAGCGGAGAAACAAAGCATTATTACGATCAGACATTTTTCTTATAACGAGATCAATTCGTCTTTGTCGCTTTAAGTTTCGCGAACCAGTTGCGTCTGAGATGGCGTAATGGTGACCATTTATAACCAGTCTTGTTACTTTTATATTTTCAACAGATCAGTCACGACTCCTTTGAAAAAAGATTGTTTCATTTTTTAAATTGATATTCTATTTATAAAATAATGTACTCTTTAGTAGGCAATAGATGCCAGCAACAATATGTATTTCACGAACAGGCAAGGGCGCTCGGTGTACTACCACGACCATACAGAAGACAGGCGTGAAGTGAAAGTAATTCGGAGTTTCGTCTAAAGCCCTATTTTTAATCGTCATCGCCTTTACCCTTTCTTATAAGGAAACGATGCGAAGGAAAAGTGGATTTGATGGAAAAAGGGACGCGATAGGTTATACACGATAGGAGGGAAAAATATAATCTTTTACGCCTATCCACCTTCGTCGATTAAAGATAGACAGGGGTGGAGCAAGGGCAGAGGTCGCTTCGCTATTTCAGCGAATTCAAGTGGCCGGATACTTGAAGAGTTGGCATAATGTCATACATATCCATACATCCCTGTCAGCCTATATTCGATCAAAGTTAGACAAAGTAATAATATACAGGCAAAGAGTAGAAATTGAAATTTGCATAAGAATTTTATTAAAGTGAATATTAATGGAATTTAATTTAGCAAAGTTCTCTCAAAGCAAGGAAATTTTGCGAGTCTTGATCCGCAGTGCAGTTACTCGGTACACTGCGTGCCATAAGTACTAAGTGGATACTGCTATGAAATTTCTTTGCTTAGTACATTGCGGAGAAAAAGGTAAACTGTAATAATTTTTAAGAGTCGTTAACTTCAAATAAACATTGAGAAATACGTTATTAATTTATTTTTCATTCGTAAATTCATCAGGGAATAGTCTATAATATATTTTATTTCAAACGCGATTGCAATTGTTATTAAGAATATTTTTTAGCGGAGAAAGAAATGATAACAATATTGAAAGCCAATAGATCCAATAGAAAATTAAAAATATAATATAAAATAAAAAAAAAAACAGAAATATTGTGACATAAAATGATAAATATTAAATCCATTAAATTATTAATATCAAAAACGTTATATTGGTGTGCGATTTTAATTTGTTGAAAGCATCTTAAAGATTCCCTCGACGGCCCCTCGACGTGCAGAAGTGTTCAATCCAATAAACTCAATGGCTTTTATCTTGAAGATGTATAAATATTAAACATTAATTCACGATCGCGTTTTGAGCAAACTTTTATAATAACCTATTCAATATTTAATATAAAAAAATGCTGCTGTCCCAGTGAAGTATTACTGTCGAAACATTTATTTTGTACAAGGAAATAAATATCCACAAAAAGAAAACAGCCAAATCGTCTCATTACATATAGCTTGTTGAACTCTTTATACACAATATAAATCTTACTAATATTATAAATGCGAATGTTTAGATGTCTGAATGGATGGATGTTAATTAGAAGGTATATCCCCAGTAAAATAAACACTAACAGTGTAAGCTTAACGTGATTAAAAGTAAAAAATAAATAGCACCTTTAGTCGCCATCTTGTCTCGTTATTAGAGCTTTGTGCAATTATTAAAAGGAAAACTCAAATAAAAAGTAGTTGTAACGAAGGAATTCTTTAAAGTTATATTTGATTTATTACATACCCGATGAAAAACTACGCTTGCTGATAAATATGTGAAGACTCTATAACTCCTTTCTTTTCCCTCTCTTGCAATTCAAATATAACATTACAAACGGTTATTTAAATATGACAATCATATTGAAATCTTAGTTTACAGTCAAGAGAATAGTAGTCATCTAGTTTACTTACAGTTTGTCTATTGTTGCAGATTGCGTCGTACGTCTCCGATCCTTGAGATCGGCCCGAATCCACTCCGGTCACCTGCCACGCGCGCATGGCTGTCGGCTACTCATACCCTCACTCTCGTCCAAGAACTCCCTACTTATAGAACTACACAAACTAAACGTACCTTGCGCCACCGGATACCTACGATTCTCCCCAACTTCAACCATCTTATGTGGAAAACTAGAGCAAGTACCATACCCTAACAGAAGGTTCATTTACCTATCGTCTTCTAAAAAACAGGAAATAGAACTTCACGGACGACCTACGTTCGCCGCGATGTACCGCTTAGTAGACTACTGCCATGATGTTCTACTGACGGCAAGAAACGGCTCGTTCGAGGTCGAACCTACCACAAAACTGTCCTGCTCCTACCACATACATTTACCTTATGGAAACAGAGTCGCGTTACGTCTACAAATGGGAACAGGTCCTGTTAACAGAAACAATGATTTGTCAAATATAATTCATGAAGATGCTCATGCTAAATGTAAAGGTATGGCATTAACACTTGAAGATGGGGAATCTAAATGGAATCATTGTTCCCAACCTGGGGATCCATTGCGCAGTGTACAAATAGTTTCAGAAAGAAACTCTGTAAGACTAAATATAAGCGTCTTGGGAAAGAAGAATACAATGGCGATGTGGTTAAAAGTGTGGTGGATGGATAAAGCAGTAGAAGAAGTGATAGGACATTGTGACTACGGGTGGGTGTTGTCGGGAGACTTCTGTATAGCAGCGATGAAGGAGACGAAGAGAGCATGGCGTCAGGCGGAGATGGACTGCGTCAGACTGGGTGGACATCTAGCTAGCGTACTCAATGAACGTCAACAACAAATCATGGACCAACTACTTTTAAACGCGTAAGTTTTTTTTTATTATATGGCCTAACACTGTCTGATGCTAATGCTGGCCGTTAACTATACCAATGCAAATTTTTTTTTAATTACCAATTTTAATACGATCGCTATTTGTTTAAAATTTTATTAGCTCAAGCCACAGAAGAGAGAGTTTGAATATGATGTGCAAAAGTTTATTTAAGCTGATAACCACGTTCACGCCGGGCTATCACTACAGTAAAACTTTGAGATGCATTTAATATGAAACTTATGAAGGAAGAAGAAAATGCATTTAGGCGTAATTAGTAAACTTTAAAAGAAATCTTAATATACTTTCTTAGCTGACTTGAGACACCATGATTAATAAAAACAATATTATTTTATACATAATTTTCATAAATGATTATTTTTACAGACCCGGTAATGGAATCGACGATGTATATTGGATTGGGGCCACAGACGCGGTGCACGAAGGAGAGTTCCGATGGTCCGACGGACTACCATTTTCTTATGCACGTAAGTGAACTAGCAAACACATCGAAAATAATATCCTATTAGTTAAAAATGATAAACAAGCCCACTCTATATAATTATCTTTCACACGAGGCTTTCCTAAGTAAGACTAAAAACTAATATACAAATAACATAATCTTTGTCTTATATGAAAACTAGTTGACGACCGAGCGAAAGCAAAGAAAACTTAAGTGGTAGCTTATGTATTCTTTCAGAATATGTTCTACATCTCTGCCAAATTTCAGAAAGATCCATGCAGCCTCTGGAGTTACTTTCCAAAGATTCACATTTATAATATTAGTAATTAGTAAGATATAGAGCGTCGGTGGCTAAGGGGTCAAGCACTTGACTTGTAATCTGCAGGTCCTGGGTTCGAATCCATACACCAATGTGTTTTTCGATTTACATAAGTACAGTTATCCGACATTACGGTGAAGGAAAACATCGTGATGCAACCTGCACATATCTGTGAAGAAATTCGAAGATATGTGTGAAGTCAACTAACCCGCACTTGGCCAGTGTGGTTAACTATGGCCTAGTCACCCCCAGCTTAGGGTAGGCTCCGAGCCCATCAGTGAGGACTTATAGTGAGCTGATGATGATGATTCTGTAGATTTATTATGAGATTCTCAAACTTTAAGCCTAGCACGTGATTTAATTTTCATTTAAGCAATAACGTAGGTCTTCGTCACTACATATAAATAAGGCCAGTCTAGTCCCTACAACGATAATGAAATAATCCATTAACATATAGAATTCGATTACAATCTAAAATAAATCCAATAACCTTGCATTAAAGTCTTATTTTACATGAATCTCAATTACATTTAAGGCTAAAGTTGGAGTTAATCTATTCATCTGGAAGTAATTAATTCTCACAAAATGCTGCTACGAATTTGAACAGAATGATTTTATGTTGCTCGCCTAATTAACGCAGTCACAAAGTCGATTGGATCTTTTTAAACATTTTATGGAATAATTTTAAAGTTTGGAAATTTTCTAAAGTTAAGAATACCAAATAATTAATTGAAATAGTAAAATATTTATTTAAAAGTTAATTTAAAACTCTTTGTGGACGAATATTTAACTTGCTTTTTGCGCAAATTTGAATGTTATAAGATTTAATTTAACGCCTCGTTTAGTTAAAGTTTTCAACTAATATCGTAAGAAGCACATCACCAAACTGTAAGTGGCAATTACCGACTCCGTGTACACGTCACTCACAACGCGCGGCTTTTGGATTGCCTCCAAAATACATTACTACTGAAAACTTAATATCAGCACTTGCTTTATGCAATAATAATTACATCAAGTGATAAATATTTTAGTTTATTTTTAATGGATAAAAGTGTTGAGTGAAATTTGAAGTATTCGACCTCTTTAGTAGAAAAATTTGCACACTAAAGAGGTTACACTGGCCACCAACAATTTGGCGTAAAAATGTAGAAAAAAAATAAGTGAAAAAATTGAGAACAATTGCGCGGGAAAGTAAATGAAGAACGTTGTGTAGAAATAGAGTCGTTATTAAATATTTTTTGTTGTTATTATTTAAATAGTTTAATTTAAGTCTGTCACTGTTATTAATTATCCTTAAAGAAAAATAACAAATAGGTATGTAATTTCTATTTTCTCTTTCTATCTAATAACGCAATAAAACTTAATTGTTTTCTTTTACCAAGAGATAGAATTCACAATGGTCACTGTTATGGGTTCGTTTTATGCACATTTTTACATCTTTGTCTACGATTCAAATGTAATACTTCTTTTCGTATAGCAGATTTCCAGTTTCAACGATTTATTTGTCTTTACACTCAAACATATAGGTTAGTTTGTGTAACAAATATTCTTGTAATGTTTACATTCTTTAGTTTTATATATCTAAGAGATTTTTAAAGCAAATACTTTTGCTCAGAAACAATAGAAAGGATATTTTTATGCTATATTATTTTATGCCACAATTTTTCCTCGTTCTTGAGTCCCAATGATTCGTTCATATTAATAAAGAAGTTAATCAAGCAAACTCACAAGGTTTTAGATGTATCGATATTTCTTTGAAAGTATCGATACTTTCAAGAAATTACACGCCATCCCTAGTGTCAGTCGACATGAGCTTGCGGTTTTGTTGCGACCGAAACTTGTTGAGTTGAGCTCTTTGCAAAGTGTTGAATGAACTTTGAATACACGAAACACTTACAAACATTGTTTGAAGACACTTTGACTTAAACGAAGATTGCGTTAGCTTTAAGAAAATTATGTTTTATCTGTATTTTTCGGAAATAGTAACATGTAATGCATCGGCAAGTTTCATTTCATAAAATATATAGCAATCGCAATCTTAAACTAACCTTTGTAAGTACTAGCAGTTGCCCGCGATTCCGTACACGCGGAATTAAATAAACTTAACTGGCCTTTGTGTTTTTCCAGACTAAGTTCTACATATATGTCAAATTTCAGGACATACCTTCAAACAACCATCCATCCATCTATGCATCTATACATCTAAACATTCACATTTATTATTATAGAAAGATTAATTAAGTAAACGTTCTCTTTTATAATAAACATTAATTAAAAAATCAGAATCTTGTCTTCGAACAATCCTTATTCGTAAATCCTAAGGCTGTTAAACTTGTGTTCTTTTTTAATTAAAACAAATGAAATCTGTGAATACACGCAGCCGATGTAAATTACATTAAATATTCAACACAATTACACCCCCGAGAATCGTTACGTAGCTAACTTTCTAAAGAAATATTTTCTTCATTCGTAGCACTCAAATATGTTGCAATCCCCACGGTACCTGATAGCAAATTTCGGCGCCAAAAATTTCTTTTAACAAAATCTAGGGATATAAAAAATTTTACATAACTTGAGTAGTATACTTGGTATTCTACTGTATTCTACTCGCACTTCTTATCATTCATTTCTATCGTCATTTCAGATGTCTCACCGTGGATTTCTGAGGCCTAAATTCCCGTTGAAAACATATTATATTATCATCTGTTTTTATACAGATTTAGCTCTCAGAAACCAACGATTAAATGCATAAAATTGTGATTATATATGTCTTTGCTTGTCTTGTAAACGTATGGATGGAGAAAAAAAGAATTACAATCAGTCCAATCTTGAGACAACTCAAAAATTATTACCTCCCCTTTTGAATAACATAAGATAAGATAAGATAAGATAAGATAAGCCTTTATTCGCTGACCAATTTTTTTTATTTTTTTTTACATAAACTTAAACTACTATTTTTTTTTTTTAACTGAAAAAATTGAATTTGTAGATTTGTTTTCAGCTACCAGCTGCTTTGGCAGGATGTCCTTCGACATAGGCCTCCCCTAGACCGTTCCACAGTTCCTTGTGAATAACATATACAAATTCAAAAGTAACTTCAAAGATACCTCCGACATAACTTTCATTGTGTTAATTAAATTTACGATATTCAGTACAACTTCCGACTTTAATTAAATATTGAAATTCTGAAAGAGATTCATTAGGGAATATGATTAATTATAATTTCTACGAACAAGAAATGTATTAAGGAATTTTGATTGAAAATATCAGTCAGTGGATACCTAATAATCTATATAAATAACAGTAGTTTAACATAATATAATTAGAATAATTATAAAACATTTTAACCCCGTAAATATTCAACACATTTTCACCAAAAGACGTTGTCTACAGTTTAACAATTTAGGACAAACCACTCTATACTACATGGCAGTATTTTCAGAATTATATCTACTATCTAGACTATCATAGAAAATACTAAAAGAGTATAGCTACACTACTTTATAACTTTTATGTCCAGATTGGTTCCCCGGGTGGCGTAAACATAGCAGCCAGCCGAACGACGATGGCACCTCGGGGCAGGATTGCGTGGAGGCACGCCGTGAATTCCCGCCGCGTCCACCAGCCCCGCAGCCAACCTACATGTGGAATGATCGCAGTTGTCACGAACACAACTACTACGTCTGTGAACGACCCTCAATTGAAGGTAATATTTGACAGTACATGCATAATTTTGGTTGATGTCGCTTCATACATTGTTAAATTTCATCGTTGTCAAAATATTACAATGCAGTTAATTATTGGTTAATATCAGAAAATTATTTTAAATGAGACTAACTATCGCTAGCCATTTAATTACATTCATTATTAGCCTATGTATAAAGCTTAATGATACCCTACCGCGTTTGCTAACTATTGGAATAACTTTCGGTAGAATTCTGCATTTTTTTCTCTAGAATTTCACCGTTTTACGTTCTCTCAAAGGCCTAGCCTAACAAGCGAAATATCCAAAGTACTGGAGCACAAACATCTACTACTGAGACACCTGATAATTGAATTAAATGCCGTCTCTCTTGACCTTTACAACATAAACTGTTAGGTACTAGTTTGGTACATTAACACATTGTTTACGAGCTCGTCCCGACCGAGAGTAGTTGTCGCCTATAACAAGCGTCCAAGTAGAGTAGTGACGTCACATAAAGCCTTTTACGACCGCTCCTCTGTCCTGATTACTTGGCAACGGCATCTGGCCTCGTTACCGGTAAACAAACACTTGGCAGCACTTGGTAATTCTTGGCAATAGTTGGCACACACTATCTGGTCATTCACTTGCCAAATAAAAGTTCTATTTAGTTATTAACTTAGCCTAGATATAGATGAAGGCTTGGCAATGTATCCTCGAAAATAGTGTCAAAAAAGCCTCAATTTTTGCCGTAAAGTATAAAGTGAGAAAAGTGCCGAAATTTTACCACATTTCTTTTTTCCAAGGTAACATTTTTCCTAGACATTCGTAATCCGTCATCGGCTTTATATTGTAAGCTTGAAATATTACTTGAAAGATAAACGCAAAAGATACACCTTAGAATTTGAACACCTAACAAATGAAGGTAATTTGCAATCCCTTTGTAAAGTCTTAAGCGTTCTACGCGATCTTTTAACTATGTAAAGTTGCTAACAGCGTTACTTATCTTACAGTTTTTATGTATATTTCAAAGAAGACTTTGTTAATTACTTATTTTTGTTTATCTTTATTTATAGACCGAGAAAGTTATCTAGTATAAGTTCTACTAAATTGCAATAGCACACTAACGCCCCTTTGTCAATGTCAAATGAGTAAAGGATCTAAAAAAAAATCATATTTTTTTTATTTTATGCCATTTTCTATGCATCAGCAGGTTTAACATATATTATCACAGACCTATCTAGACTAGACTAGACTTTAAGTCAAAAATACGGAATAATCTTTATTTTATAAATTAAATTTTCTATAATTAGGTAATGTATATTTTTATATCTATAAGGAAAGACAGGTGGTGTTGTTAGCCTAAGTTGTTAGGAAAGGATGGGAAGTGGAAATGGATTTTCCGGATGACAGGATGCTTGGGAAGAGGAAATATTTTCTTTTGTGCATTCTCTCCTCCATCGATTAAAGGTAGGCAACGCATATGCAATTGCGTATGTCTATGGGCAACGATGACTTCGCTATTTCAGCGATTTCAGGTGGCCGCTCGTTCGTTTGCCACCTTATGATATAAAAAAAATATATTATTCAACATGTTCAGTACTATCAACTCGCCTGGCGAGTCCATATTCGTGCAAAAATATAGTGACATAAAAGTGTTACATTGATTCTGTTAAATCGATATAAAATACATACTTTACTTATACTGGTGTTTTAAGCTTATAAAAGACAACTTCAGCCATAGTCGCACCTAATAAAAGCTTCACACGTCTACTACGTCACGTACTACACGTCTACGGAAAAACAGGAATAATTTAACATGGAAGATGAAATCTAGACTTTATTGCAATAAGAAAAAGAGTTACTATTCAATGTTGGTACAGACAGGGACATTAAATGGACAGTGCATTGTTTGAAAGCTGTGGTCTGGACACGTATAATCAGACGTGCCACCTCACCAACCGACCATTTGAACTTTAATAAAATTGTATTATTTTACGAAAATACTTTAATAAAAGAGGGAGAAACTTATATAATGATGTTTGACAATTGCTGATATCTTTGGGCTACGGTAGCTTCGGTTTTTCAAAGAACGATGGCCACCAAGACATCGTTAGTTCAATTTATGACACATCTATGCTCTGTCATCCAAAACCTTAACACCTTACCATGAACAAAGTACTTGGCACTTCAAACTTAACCACATAATCAGAGTAAAGTAGTGGACACTAATACGATCATTAGGCAACGTAACATAAGGGGCACTAGTCCGCCCCTCTACACTCGAGGCCATCCCCTACCCCTCTATAAACATTTAATGTCCGGCACCTCGCTCTGATTACGACGAGCGCCACCTAGCGCTCGTAAACCATAATTACTTGGCCAACCTCTTGGCATTGAACACGTTTCTCCGTATAGGTTAGAACTTGATATTGTAAATAGTGTGTTTTTTCTTCTTCTAAGTATTCCTTCCTTAGATGAATGAAGACTGGATATTTGTAGTTCCTGTGATGTTGATATTTAAAGGCGGCGATCAATGACCTCTGTAAATGGATAGGTGATTCCTTGGAAATGAGAGCTTTTGCTACGTTCCGATATCTATATTATTAGTTCAATTTCACACCGCTAGTGTCAGCGTCAAAATGGCGACATTCAAATAGACACAAAATAGTACGTCTTATAACCAGTTTATTTATAGAGGTTAGTGGCGATGATTAATAACTTTTCTTCTCTCATATAAAAAGAAAGTCTATCCAAAGAAATTTTTCAAAACAATACTTTGATGTGCCAAAAATAACATATATTTAAATACAAAAGTAAGCAACCTTTTCATTCTTAATCGTCAACCGACAACAAAATATGCATGAGATGTAAAGGTATTCTCTGGCAGACAATCGTGCCTAGCCGAGCGCCCGCTGTCAACAGAAGCGGTGCATTCCAACAGCCGCCATCTTGGATTCATGGCGTCTGTTTGAAATGTGACAATGCGATGAATTCTTAAACACGATGTGAAATGTAAACCACACGGCTGTTGTTTATTCATGTCAGTACGAATATATGATCGTATTAGTGCTTGTTTTTACACAAGAAAGAGATTCTGCTTTCATTCTTCAATGAGAATTATTACCAAAAATGTAATTGCATGAGTTAGATTCGTTGCTATTCATAAAACTGAATCTTAATTTTCATTTGAGCGTAGACAAAACCTAATATTGAAATTATTTTACAGTTTAAGACAAAGTATGTCAAATCACTTAAAACTTTAAAGTCCAAAAGTTCAAGTTTTTTAAAATCCTGCATAAGAGGACCAAAATTACAAAATATTTTTACTATTTTAGATCCCTACACAGCATCAAAGATCCAATGCAACGAGACAATAATGCTGACACACAGTCACCCACACGCAGTAGTGTCAAGCCCCGGCTTTCCGCGGGCCTACCCTGACGACGTGGACTGTGTGGCCGAGGTGCGCGCTCCGCCGGCGCACACGTTGCGTCTGCACTTCGAGGAGTTGCTCACTGAACATGAACCACAGTAAGTTATACATAGTTTATTATAAGTGTTCCGTTGATTTAGTACAGCTATTTCCAAAGTGGTGAATATGAACTACCTGGGGTTCACGGAAAACCCGACGAGGAGGAACGACGGCTGCAAATAAAGTCGATAGTTCAACTATTTGAAGAAGAAATTTAGCAGCACATTTTCATTTTCATTCAATACGAAAAAAATTGAGAGAGAGGGAGTAGTATTTTAATAATTAAGGTTAGCATAAAATTTTAAAAATTAAAACTCCAGATTAGAGACAAGGAAAGTCGATTAGAAATTTGATTTAAAATAAAACATTTTTAATAAAATAAAACTAGATTCACCCTTCAGATTTAGTTTCTATTCTAACTAAAATTGAATTTAAAATTTTTAGGCTTAAACGTCTGAACCTTCACATTCAAAATGATAGAACAGTGAGTTACAGATATAAATTGCAGATCATTTTTCAGACGCTACAGGCGTTGCGGTTTTCTCTTATCAGCACAAATCTCCAGCTGTCGATTCAGCTGAATTTATTGCTTGTAAAGTTGGCTCGCCTCGCATTCTGACCTAATCCCAACTTATCTACAAGATTTGTTACCGACTTTATCATGTCACATATACGTTCAAACTTAAGTTATAATTAAACACAACGTACATATTAGCTGTCGCCGGCGACTGGACGATTAGTAGCCTATGTGTTCTTCCAGACTTTGTTCTATATCCATGGCAAATTTCATCGAGATCCGTTCAGCTCTTCTAGAGATACCTTCAAACAAGCATCCTGAATGGATCCATCCATCCAAACATTCGCAATATAATATTAGTAAGATTGAGATGTAGTCGGTTTGTGCGTCATTATGTGTGTCATTTGTCAAGTGGCATCACTGGCCAGAAATAGTCAACTTTTTTTAATTAAACGTTACAAGCCTTATAGTATCCGATGTGATCGTGTAAAAACCTTTAATGCTCACAACTTGACTTAAGCGGATTACAGGCTTAAAACTCGTGGCGATGTAAATTACATGCCTTCGCAGCGCCATCTGCCTTCATATTGAAATATTGTTTTTACATTTAATATCGTCGGATTAGAATCACTAAAGGTGGTCACAGTCTATCTATCTCATTACAGCATACTAGCTGATCCCGCCACTTCGTCTGCGTGAAATCAGTATTTCACGCGGACAATTCTTTGACAGTTCTTTGGGTGACATTTTAAATGACTAAGGCTAATTATTTTACTTAAAATAACAAAACAATCACACAAACCTTACATATTTCTAACTGTAAAAATGACGATACTTTCATACAAATTTCCACCCCACTTTCAACCCCTTACAACCTCTTTATCGCGTTAAAGAGTAGCCTATGCCATTTCTCAGCCTCTAGACTATCTACATATCAAACTTAATTTAAATCGGTTCAGTAGTTTTAACGTGAAAGAAGTACAGACAGACAGAGTTACTTTCGCATTTATAATGTCGCAAGTCGCAATAGTACGGAAGTAAGGTCTTAAAATGTTGCGTAAGTACCATAACAAAATTTGTACCCTATAAACAGCCACATAAGGTACATAATTCAATGTCTATTACTCACATGTTGTGGCTAGCGTATATTTAGTCGGAACAAAACAGAACAGTCGTCGAGTAAACAAGAGAACACGAGGCAGCGGCTGTCAATCGATGTCCGAGTACGTGCGACGTCCGTTGCATGTTCGCTCAATAAATAATACGTATACACATTTGCTTTTGCAGTTTAAAAGGAATTTTGAGAAATATCTACTGATGCGACATAAAATCGAATAAAATCAAGACATTCTTACGACGCCACGCATTCAATCAGACAACGGTCAGCCAACCCTTTTTTTTTAAACTTTAATTTTTGGTAATTTTGGTTTATTTATTAGTAATAAAGATAACACGAAATTTGTTGGAACGATGTTAAGAATTATATTAAATTCTGTCTACACTTGCAAATCTGGGATAAAATAGCAGTTCATAAATGTTAATTTAACGAGACAGTCCGTAGTTAGTTTCCCCAGGGTATAATAACTCTGTATAGAGATAAGTTGGGACACACGATGAGTCGTGTCCTGAATTATTAATGGCCATAGACAATAGAGCGGCTATATATCATAGACTCGCTTGTATTCGATATCTAATGCACATATTAATGATGTTAATAATTGCTTCTATTACGATATAATAAAAAAATAAGAGAATATAGTGTTATAACCTTAAACTCAAAAGAATTTAAAACATTACAACTTTTTAGATTTATGGAATACTTACTGTCATCCGCGCGGAATTAAAAAACTGAGTACTTCTTCCAGCCTATCTATGTTCTACATTAATGCCAAATTTCAAAGAGATACTTTAAACCGGAGTTATCTTCAAACATCCATCCATCCAAACATTCGCATTTATAATATTAGTAAGATAATACAAACTGGCCTAATCACCCTTAACTTAGGGTAGGCTCCGAGCCCCTCGGTGGGGACGTATAGTGAGCTGATGATGATGATGATGAATACAAACTGAAAAAAAATTAATTACTCTACACTCTTGTGGGTCATATCATTATCTAATCAAATGCCATTGTCTATGGTTTTCTTTTTTTTATTATTGCTAACTTAGTCTTAGTTAACTTAAGTGGGCGAAAAGTGTTCACCGGTCACTTGTCTACAAAAATGTGTAAGTGAACTCAGTAGGGACAAGAACCTGTACTTAGCCGTCTCGATGACGTCTGAACGAAATGATCTGCAACTAAAAACTATTTCAACTGGATTGTACTTTGGTTGCACTAACCGTGTATTGTTGAGGGTGACGACCGGCTAAAGTACTAACCAAGTATCACTTACAACTTTTTTACTTATTTAAATAATCGAATTTTAAAATATATAGCAGCTGTTGCCCGCGATTCAATCCGTGCGGAATTTAAAAAAAAACTTAATTAGTAGCCTATATGTTCTTCCAAGTTATGTTCCGTTCGACATGTATGTCAAATTTTAGCGAGATCCATGCAAGTGGTCTAGAGATACATTCAAACAAACATCCATCCATCCGAACATTTATGATATTAGTAAGGTATCTTGCAGCTATAACAACGGATTATGGATATAAATTTGAATTTCGATCACGTGATTAGATAGAATAATAGCTATATATTAAACTTAATTATTTGAAACTTTAATTAACTATGTGGAGTTGCTGTTGGATATTGTCGCGATAAAATGCAATACCGCTACAGCCGGATATTGTTTACCGGATCGGACGCGATATCCGTCGTACGTAGCGACTGCCCGCCCGGCTGCGAGCCGGATGTCGGCCGGGATTTATTAGCCTTAGTTTAATATCAACCACAGCACTAGTTTCTTACGCCATCTGTCTCATACTGTCAATATAATTTTAAAATAAGAATAAAACAATTGAATGTTAACAAACTTAAGTAAAATATAACATAAAAATGTAAATTAAACTTAAATTTAAAGCAAATGATGGTTATAACAACAATCTAGCCTCGATATAATGTAAAAGATTTTAAATTTAACTAAAAAAAACAAAACATATTCTAATAACAACATCAAAAATCTGAATCAGTTACAAGTAAAAATTAAATTACAACAGCTCACTAGCGCCCTCCTGCCAATGTTAAAAAAGTGTAACAATTTTCTTTTTAGCTATTTTCTATGTAGGCTTGACGTATTTTTCGAACATTACTTACCGCGATAAACGTGCTTTTCTTACCAGGCCAGATATTCTAATTTAAGTATATTTCATTTTAAAGTAACCATTTTTCTTTTTCAAATAAATGTATTTTCTATTACATTCTATAGTTTAGATGTGTATAGTCTGTGAGCTAGACAACGTGTCTGTGATTTCCCGCCATTTCCGCGGCGTAATGGCCGCCGTATCGTGTGTCAGCTGTAATTGAATCGAAGTGGTTTGCGATACTCGATACACATGTTTGTCTCCTATCTAAACAATATAATGATATATTTATTTACTGCAACTAATCAACTACGTATATAGACGATACGTTAAGTATATTTTAAGATATATATAACATGATAGCTATCGCCCCCGACACCGTCCGAGCGGAATATACCTTCAAACTTGATAATATTAGTAAGATACATAACTTTATAATAAAAACGGTTAAACAACGATTTCTCTTGTGTGAATTGTTTGAAATAAATAGACTACAATAATTCAACTTTTAGTTGTTTCAGACAAATGATATAAATCTATTTTTATACTTTCTCATTATGAAGAGCTTTATTCAAAAAATTGTAAAAGAATATTAACAATGGCGAAATAAGCACTTATTGCATGCACATGATACGGCTGGTTATAACATGTGTCAGAAGTAAAATGTTAGTATAACGCTGACTCACCAGGATACCGCCTACAACGTGCCAAGATTAACATCTGCCAAGAAAACTCCCACATGAGAGCGAAATAAAGTAGCATATGTTAATAACTGCTTATGTAATCTTACAACTTCAAGAAATATACAGAGCTATTTGTGATATCTTTTAGAAATTTTTACTTAGTCTCGCTTTTAGGATCATTTATCAATTTTTGGTTTTGTTAAGATTTATGTAGAAAGGTTTTTGTGCTTCTTTTTAATTATGTTTCAGTATGCGAAGGTATTTAATTCTGAAACTGGTATATCAGATTTTACCCAAATAGGACTCTAGAAGTCTAACCGCGAGTTTCTGAATCCATGTCCGCTTAAAATATATTATTAGCTCTGCTTTTTTCAAAGATAATGATAGGGATGACGATATGTTTTATACAGAGATTTGGGTGTCAGAAAGTAAACGTAACATTTTAAGAAATAAAATCATCTTTTATCAAGGAATTTTCTGATCTATTAATTTAAATGACTAATATTCTTCCACAGTTGCAGCTACGATTTCTTGGATATCTCCGAGGCAGGTTTCGACAATCAAACTGAACACGTGGAAGAATGGCTCCTGCCTGATCACCATCATGTCTTTAGTCACGAGAATGAGGTAAATTCACACAAGCAGTAACCGAAGAAGTCGTGTTGCGACAAATGTTCGCCCAAAACTGTCATCATCACTCGTCAATCGTTCCTCCCTTTACCTTTCACATCATCCACATCTTTCCAGATTTTGATTGATGATTGTACAGGTATGGGAAGAAATGGGGACACTTCTCCCGGAATCAGATTCAATCAGTGCGGGGTGGAGACGGGACTCTGGTCCAGGGTCCGGTTCTCGGCGCGTGTGTGGCGACTGGAGCGGCAAGCTAAAGTTACTACGATACCAATCGCGTACTAATGCGCTGCGCCTGCGTTTCCGGACAGATCATTCCGGACACTACGCCGGATATAGAGCCAAGATTACTGTCGCTGACTGTGAGTATAAAGATAAATGAGATTAAGCTTTGATTCACATAAGAATAAGTCGTCGTCTATCACTAAAGCTAAAATAAGAATATTTATATATAAAAAAAAAGCATTTTTAGCTATGTTGAATTTTCATGTTTTAAAAGTTTTACCGAGGAGATTTTACTTAGCAGTTTTAATGCTATAATCTGAACTTTTCTACGTATGTTTCATCAGAATTTCATTCCTTTACTTCAATGTTCTTATTTAAAAATCTTATTCAAATTCAGTATCGTAAAGGGAACCGCAAAGTTGTTTCATATTCGCATCAACATATTCCATTGTGTGGATCGTCTATTGTCTAAAATCAAAGTTATCCAATTGAAACTTTATACGATACGTGACTGAGAAGGAGCGGAGTTTTACGAACAAACAATGTAGGGCGCACACGACGGATACAAAGTCCGACAACCATTGAAACAGCTAACAAACCAACTTCACAACATTATGCAACTCGAATGTATTAGCTAAAGTTCAACATTGACATTTTTAAAGTTCACATAACTAGAATCCACTAACATAACTTGTTTAAAAATAACATTTGGAATAATTAAAGCTCTTTTTTCCACGTCATTCAAAGTACGTAACTATTTAGTTGAAAAATCCGTCCGTGTTACTCTAACTGGTTGAAGGGGGGCATCAAAGACATTTGCACCATAACAACCTGGAAGATATCTAAAGTGCATTTGAATACCTTTTATTCGACAACGAATGAATGAACTAGATACCAAGTGCATTTGAATTCACGAGTATGAAGGAATGAATGAACGAGTGGTGAGCTAACGACGAACGAATGGTTGTGTGCTCCTTTGAAAGCGGTTTTGCGGAGACTCGGTGAACGGTTGAATGATACCCGTAGAGTAGAGATAATTCTATTACATAAGATTAGATTTAAAGTTACAGATTACTAATATCCTAAATAAGAAAACTAACGAGAATGAAAGAAGGACCTAAAAATAACATAGTTCCTTTGCCATAAGCATAATTTTACTGTGAATTTCCCGATGTCGGAATTGTTGTACAAAACATATTGTTACCTCTTTCTCTTGTTTTTCAAAGATAACGATTGAGACATGTTTGTACAAGTTTGGCAATAGCGTGGCTAGAAATTTTATTTTTAAATACGTACGTAACTATCAAGAAATGCCCTCGATTCCTTTGAACCATCGCGTGGTGTCGAGTCGCGGTCAAACTGCGCGTGAAACGACATCGAGATAGCTGCACGCCTCACTGGTTACTACTTCGACCTTAATGTCTGACAGCTATTTCATACTCACCAAGCCACATTCAATTCGTTCCTGAAAATATGTTACAAAAACATGACTTTGGTCGCAGCGGAGAATTTCTTGTATGTCCAATTTTCGCTCCTAATTTTATTAAGAAACTTTATTCACATTTAATTGTAACAGAAGACTCTGGACCAAAATCTGATTAACCAATATCTTTTACTCAATTTACCGAAATTTTTTAAATACATCCTTACAATTGCCAATATATTCTTTAGCAAGTTTCCCACAATTTGCAGAATCCTTTAAGTTAAGGAAAACGTCCAAGAACGATTCAAATTCTTTATATATTTGTGGGAATAGTGTACTGGTTAAGTCTTTTCGACAAATTTATGCGTACCCTTTACGTTCGTCGTCTTTAAATGAATCCCATGGTACCATTAAAGGAACAATTTACAACTCGAATGGGCTGTCTGAATTTGTAGGCTGTACCATCGGTTAAATATTATCATAGACAAAAGTTTCTTTGTTTTTCTATTTAACTATCTTAAATATGGTCACGTGAAAGTTAAACAATTTAAGGTCCTCTGTAACATTTGTTATTTTCATGTTGGAAAATATATTCGTTCCATGTGCATTTACAGAATATATTCCGTTTGGCCGAGTGCGATGGAACATTGTGAGGCGGCGCAATGTGGATTGCAAAGAGACGCTTCTAGAAACGTCTATCGATGTATTTTCGATTCGGTTTAAATCATTAAATTCTAATTCTTGTTAGTTTTCTAACGTAAAAATTCTATGCAAAGATAAAAGAAATATTAAGTAAAATGCAAACTGAATTGCAATAAGTAAAGAGGCAAACATTTAGAGGATTTCAGATTTATTACAAGATATCGTTTATTTCAAGATTGAACAAACAAGAGGCAGTCAAAGAGACATGGAAAGATTGAAATGTATCTTTTGGGTCTTGTGATAAAAAAACAAAGAAAATTTCTTATGGTATAAGATATTAAAAATAACTAGACGGTCAATAATATTCCTATTTAAATCGCATTTAGTCGCTGTTCGGCAAAGCTATAATTTTCTTCTATAGGAGAGTACATAGGAATGCTTTGGTTCACAAAGAACTCGGCCGTCCGTCCATAATATAGTCGGTAGATTTCACGAGGACCAAGATGATTACAATACACCTGGCGATTATTGGAATCCTATTCAAAACGGTTGAGAATTTAATTTTCAATTCAATGAAGATTCCTTTATCTTAGACGTAATCCGACTTTGCTTATTGCCCGGAGCGGATGATATTCAGATAGATAAAAATTTTAAAGAACTATAAGGTAGGTTTTGCCGATTTCAGATTTCATCGCGGGTAAAAAAACACATTTCCATTATATCACGCAGACAGACAGTCAAGGGCAATGCACTATTTCAATTTGCTAAAACTTATGTACGTCCAACAACCAAGTATGTTTTTCCTTATGTTCAAATTGAAAAACAAAAATATTTGTTTGGGTTACATTCAAAATAGTAGTCGATTGTTCGATTGTTTTTTTTTAAATACACATTTAAAAATATATTACCTCGACTGAATTTTAAAAATGTAACAGGCGCTGCGAAAAGCGTTCGTTACATCTCTGAGCGCATCTAAATACCATTCACTGAACGAATGAACGAACGGAATGCCTAACGAGGCAGTTTTGTGCGTCCGCTGTGAACGTTACTGCACAATGCACATGCAAGGGTATTCATTGAATGTATTTACATCACAACTTCGAGACGTTAATACGGTATTTGCAGTGCGTTGTTACATTTGTTGAACTTTTCTCAAAATAGAATATTGTCATGACCTTTAAAAACGAGGCATATTTCTTAATGGTCTTTAATAACGTAAAGAAGAGTCTTGCTGCGGCACTCTTATTGCTAATGCGAATCATTATGAACATCTCTTAAATTACTCTTAAAGCAGCTGTAAGTTTCCCTCCTGACGGAGGATAATCTTCGAGAGATACCCCGCCTTATGGTGAAAAGATAGGATTAAGAGGGGTTTGACCCACTGATACCCCCTCGGGGCCAACCACGAGTGTAATAGAAAAGGGTTTCGGGAATCTGAGAAAGGCAACGGGACGGGAAACATATAGCCCTAACGAAATTAGATATTAGTAAGGGTCAAAAAGTAATATTGTTCCATTATTTATTTATCTCTATAATATTCTGCCTACAGCCCAAACATGCATGGACGCTAAGCAAGTGTTGTACAATGGACACTGCTACCTCTTCTCTGGCTACCCTCGCGCCTCGTGGATCACTGCCAAACAAGTAAGTCATAGTATTAACATCATCAATACCCATACTTAGATCTGTAAACAAAACAATTTGTTTTTTTTATTTCAATCAGAGCCAATTTTAAGTCGTCTTCCTTGACTCTACCTTAATGGTGCTTGGCTTAATTGTAAAATTTCTCCACCGAGATTAGTTCGTGGCCATTTTACCATGCCCACAAGTTGTCTTTCCAAGGGAACTTTATTCTCTTTGGTCTGTAAAACTAACTTCATGACCTAAGTACATACCATAAAGTTTTGCATAGAAATTAGTTTTGTTTATTCGTTTCGGTATAATTAATTCATTTTGTATATTTCAATAAAACAACTTCTTTCATGAATAAACAACAAGAAACCCCCAAATCACTTACATCATCATTTATTCCCAAATCACAGAAAGTGTAGTTGATACCGAATATTGGCATAGTTTTAGTCATCATCTCGCTTGCTAACGATCTGTACAAACTTCGAGACGACAAACTTCTTCAGGTTTAATCAGTGCGCTCAATAATGAGCTGTAACCGATATCCAAGTCAAACTTCTGTTAGTGCCACTGATGATTAGCTGCAGATCTAAATTGCGCCGATCCTTAGTGATAGAGTTTTAAAAGTTTCCGAAGACTGTTTGGCGTTTATTTTGCTTTTGTTGATATTTTAAAATATTTCCTGTAGAGTTGGTGGTTGTTGTCCGATGTGCAAGTGGAATACATTTTATAGAAAACTTCTCGGAAATATGTAGATCCATCATTTGTCTTTACTGGCGCTTGGAGCACTTGGAGTCATACTAAATCTTACACTAAGGGACTCATCTTTATACTTGCAAAAACTGTTCGAATTATTTTTTATATAAGTCGCTAGTCTTTCCTCATTGACCTCTTTGCGTCGAGGCAGCACTAATTCCCTCATTGTGCGATCCCGCATCCACGATAAAGTACGTATCCTCAGATCACGTCAGACTAACCTAAATGCCTTAATCCCTCTGAGATCAGAATACTTTATCTCTAATCATTGTAGACAGCCGCCAGGTATCTTCAAGCTTGACATATTTTTACCAATTCACTTTTTTTTCATAGCCTTCGAACTATCGCTTGACGACCAGCCAAACACCACGTTTTATTACAATTTGAGGACTGGATTTTTAATAAAACATACATATTTTGCCAAAAGAAACCTATGATTATAGTCCCTAGCGGTATCCATAGAAACGACTTCTATTTTCCTTCTTCCTTTTAAAGAATGAATCGTTGGCTTTTCAGGTATGTGAAGGTCTGAACATGCATCTCTCATCGGTCCACTCCGCGGAAGAAGAACGGTTCATCGTATCCGGCATCAGACAAAGTAGTGACTACAGCGCTGGTGCGGTTTACTGGCTGGGTGTCAAAGTCCAAAGACCAGGGCAGAACTTCAGCTGGGTGGATGGAAGTATCTTTGAATATCAAGCGTGGCCACCTTACAATGATACAGAAGATATGGAAGAGGCGTGTTTAGGTGTACAGGTATTTATGATTCTTATGGAATAAGAGAAAATGCTATTTAAAATTACAGCCATTATTATTCTGTTTTTGGCGTATATGCCGAGATTTTTATTTTACAAAATAATAAAATAGAGCAATTAAATAAAACAACAGATAAGCCAAGTCCAAATTACTTCAAGATTAAATTTATTTTAATTCAAAGAAGTATTTTCTCTATCGTTCCATTTAGTTTTGCCGCAGCTAATCTAGGTATTAAGGCTAAGATTCAGATCAAAACGAATTATCTAGATTTCCTTAGCTCTCTTTCCTCGATTTAGCTTTGTATTAATAAGTATTAATGTTGGGAATATTTAAGCGATCAGATAAAATCACCAATTGAAAGACACAAAAAACTGTACATTAGTTAAAATCCAAAAGCGACCTAAAACTTACTTAAGCGACAGCTTTTCTGAACAAGAACATCTTGGTGATATCGAAGGACCAAGATTTCGTTGTTAATAAGAGTAATTAAAATACACACCTAAAATGGTTTAATGGTTGATTAAGTCCTTTAGTGTGGATTTTTCACACTAAATCCATATTATAGGTCTCCCTTAGCGACTAATTAATAACTGAGTACGGGACATAGTAATTTATGTTTTTTCAGTGGAGAACATCTCCAGTTCCGTCGCAGCCGAGCGGACTGTACTGGTCGCAGCATAAATGCGCGGTCACCGGCGGATACATCTGCAAGCGACGTCTCAACCCTGAACACATCCTTAAGAACAACACTGTTGAAGGCAACTCAGGTATGTAGATATACAAAAATTATCTAGTCTTAGATTAATTTTACAATTTCTGATGGCTGGCTCAAGTTAGTCAGATCTTTCTGAGATACGGTCCATTGATACAAATATGTAGACCGTTTTTTAGACACAGTTGTTAAGAATCAATATATTGATTATGTTTTTTAAGCATGTTTAATAGTAAAACATGTACAATTCATTTGCTTCACCGGTTTTTCCAATCCAGGAGAACTATCCAGTCCTAATTACCCGGGTCTGTATGACAATGACGTGGACTACTGGGTGCACGTGTCGGGTCCGCCGGACACGCGGCTCGTCTTTGTCTTCAACTCCATCGATCTCGAGTACCAGAATGATTGCTTGTACGATTTCGTAGAAGTAAGTATGCTCTTACACATTTTTATAAACAAGATGGTGACAAAATAATAATTTAAGTCATCTGATTTTAAATTGCTAACTAAAGAGTTGTAGATATACAAATATCAAATATCATAAAAAAATATTTATTATTGCATTTAGTTGAAGGATGGCTTAAGTAGCAAGTCGTCGCGCTACTGTGGCTCACTGGGAGAGACGAGATGGGTCGCCACCAGCAACCAAGCTACTCTACATTTTCATTCTGATTACAAGTAAGTTTACAATGCCTTTCGTGTGACACCTATCGCTTGCTTTAACCAGACGTTAATTTTTTGCCTTTACTTCCAGTACTCAAGGATCTGGTTTCTCGTTATCCTGGCGCGCAGTAGAGCTGGCCGGGTGTCCATTTCAGACATTCACCTCAAAGGAAGGTCAGCTGCGGAGTCCCAACTACCCGCAGTTCCTGCTGCCCGGCCTCGATTGCACCATCGATATACTGGCACCTTCAGGTTAGATTGGTAAATCTTCACAATTCTCTACTGAATGTTGTATCCGTGGTAGACTAAGGCGTTGTTGATTATGTTACAGATAAACCATTGCACTACGATAGAGGCATTAATATCATATTAACAAATGTAATAAATTATTATATTTTTCAGGGAAGCGTATATTTCTCAACATCAGCCATTTTGATTTCGGCTACGGTACATTCGCGAACGGAGTTCCCATCAATGTTTCCGAAGCGATACCGGAGGATACGTTCCTTGAGGTCCAGATCGATCCCGACAGCACCCCGATACGTCCCTTTGTTGACTCAAAGATCCTCACGAACGGACTTTTCGTGTCACAATCTGAAATAATGAGACTAAGGCTGAGGACTGGTGAGAACGTCACCGGCGCTGGCTTTCTTGCGTTATTCAAGACTGGTTGGTACCCATAGCTTGTATTTTTACTAACTTGATTCCTATGTGCGTTTTACTTTTGTTCGACGCCATTAATTCATTCATTTACAAGTTTTGTATAAAACATGAACTTTATTTCAGTAAGCTACCTAAACTTGAGCCACGTATTGGAACTAAGTGACCGAAGTTCCGGTAGACTGTCAGCCCCTAACTGGCCAGGCTCGCCTCCTCTAAGAGCTAAGATCTCCACTAGAATCCTGGCACCGCACGGACACACTTTGTCTGTAGCCTTTGCGAAGACCCGTCTCGTCGCTCCGCCTTCCAAAACTTGGCCCTGCGGTGAAGGCAAAGGGTGGATTGAGGTAAGAGATTTTATACAACGTACGAAAAAGTTGGTATGGATTTGTTCAATACCTAAAAAAGCTTTGACATTGGTGACGTGTCAACATCATCTAAGAATTGGTTCTATATGCGTAAAAATGACCTATTATTTTTAACCAGGTAAAAGACAGTTACACGGATAACAATGGTACGGAGTGGACTCTGTGTGAGGTAGGCAGAGGCAGCAGGATGGCGGAGAGCAGCGCACCGCTCGTTATCAACTCCTACCTGCACTCGCTGGCGGTGACGCAGCACGCCGGCGACCGCGGCGTCAGCATCGATGTGTTGCTTCTCGTCAGGAAAGGTCGGACTAACGTACAAGGATTTTTAAAGGTTTTTCAAAGTCGAAATTTAAAACCACCTTATTTATTATTTCTCAGACCCCGAGTATCACAACAAGCTGCTACTTATTCCCGAGGAGACAAATCTGGAGTCCTGTTACCCTAACCCTTGTCTGAACGGCGGCCTGTGCGCCTCCGACGATACGAAGAATTTCTGCCAATGCGCTGGATATTATACTGGTAGGTTGAATATGACTCACAGGATGTCTTCGATTAGAACTTGTTGTGTTAAAATTATTTTTCGACAGGTATTTTCTGTCTGCTGACTGCTTGCGAGCGGTCGCCGTGCGTGTTCGGCAACTGCTCGCTGTCGGTGTCGGAGGGCAGCGGCGGCGAGGCGTTCGCGTGCGCGTGTGCTCGCGGGTGGCGCGGCCGGCGCTGCGCCGAGCGCACTCGCCCCTGCGCCGCGGCTCCCTGCAACCACCGCGGCGCCTGCATCGAGAGGGACGGAGGCTTCCTCTGCCAGTGCACGCCCACTTGGAAAGGCAAGAGGTACTGACTCAAACCATAGGCATATTTTAGGATCTTGTTTGATATCATCTTAATTTCCTTTAAATATAATATTGTACATTTTGATGAAGTGGTTCAAACATACTTCTTTCTCAGGTGTGAGATTCCCAATCCTTCGCCGAAAATCGTAGGACTCGGAACAAGGATGCTTCATGAGCCGTTCTGGCTCGGCTTGATAGCAGTATTCTTAATGCTCGGCCTCATCGGCCTCGTGTGGTGCGCCAAGAGGCACTTCCCCGAGAAGATAGAGAAGTTGCTCGCAGAAGAAGCGGACAGATGTGCAAGACGTAAGTATGCCTCATTGTACACCTGTGTTACTTGGAGGACAAATCTTTAGGCCTCAATTGGAACCCATCAAATTACGTAAGACTTGTTCTACCAAAAAACAAATCAAGGGCACACTAACTTACAAATGCTTTTCGGATAGCTTTTATGAAGTAATAAATAAATCTGCATACACGTGTTTCACCGTAAAGCCTTCTTTCCTTTATTTCGGCTGTACTCATGCATTCTCTGACAAACGCACCGTACCTGGTCAATGGTAAAGACACGTTTTGCGAATTATTTTAAATATCTGTATCATTATTGTTATCACGACTTACGAATTCAGAAACTGATTGAGTATTTTATCCTTTTATATAGGGGGAAAAAACATGAACGTTTCTGTGATTCGTAAATTGCACACAATTTTTTTAATTTACTACTTTTCATGAAATTTAATGGTACCAGTTTCATTTTTATGGAAATGCCGCAAAAAAAGAAAAGGAAGAAAATAAATGGCAAAATTTTCACATCTTACAGAATTTTAAAAATCCCCAAGGAAATAATAAATTGAACTTACTTCTTCTAAATTTCAAGATCTTTATAATGTTTAGAAAAATTGTGTAACACAAATTGTTTTAAATGAATATTGTTATGGACACCACCTGCCGGGGTATACCGAATGATTATTTCCAATGTCTTTCAAAGAACTATTACATTTTTGTATCAACAGCTTTAAAAAGTTTTTAGATATTTTTTAGAAGACACAAATACACTTCATGGATTTAAATGTTAGCTAATCAGTGTGCTTTCGAAATAAAATTACCCCGAAAATCCACCATCTCCTTCCTCCATATTTATACCGAATGTGTAATACTAGTTAAACCCAAACATTGGTAACGGTGACCACTTAACTTCTGGCTTCACTCTTTCCTTTGCCCTTCTCTGTCAAATATATTGGTGAGCATGGGGTATGTCCCGGCGACGTGCCAATGGTGTGTGTATGGGGCTAGCGCCGCGCGGCAGCCGGCAGCGGTACGCCGCGGTGCCACGGGAGGAGCCGAGCGGCGGCGAGCCGGCGATAGCTACGCGGCGTTAGCGGCACGACGCGGCGTTAGCGAGGCGGTGTTAGTGACGCGGCGGTAGTGACGCGGCGTTTGTCCACAGCGGCGGTGGCGCGCTGCGAGCCGGCGGCGCACCGCACGCTGCTCACGCGGCTGGGTATTCGCAAGCCGTCGGTGTCGGGGCTCGCGCCGCACCCGCGGGCCGCGCGCACCTTTAGTTTGGACGATCTGTTAAAGCCGCCGCACGGACGTAAGGAGTGGAGCGCCGGAAGCCAATCCCCCGCCTCCCGCCGCCGTGCCCTTCGCACCGACATTCAATACATTCACCTTCCATTACAATCACATTTTTGTACTCTATTTTTTATTTTTCTAATATTGGTATTAACTTCTGTACTATCAATATTGCCATTATCTATCTATTATCTATTGCATTGAAACATCCTAGTAGAAATATTTATATCATGATTGTAGTAAAAAATAACAGTAGTATTAGACTCGATTATCACCGTTCCACCTCGCCAACATTGCATTAAAGTGCGGAGCGCGCGGCGAGCGGGCCTGCACCTGAATGTAACCTCGCTATTTGAATGATTCGATGTGGAATGCCGACCATAACTGTTGCGATCTCCTTGCCGGCCCATGAGGCTCTCGATGTGTGCACATTTGACTCTGCACTAACACTCAAGCATTTCTTACGTAGTCGCTCCTTCCTTCGTTAGCACCTTTGTAGATCGTCCAAATGTTACTTCCAGATGTTACATTGTCAATTGTTTAAGTCTTTTTTTCAGCTTTTATAATTAAAATGGGTTCTCCTTTTCAGATTTTACAGTATTTTACTTTCCTTCTTCTCTTTATAAACTTGGCAATATGACTTCTGGATCTATAGATTGTGTTGCTTTAGCATGCTTTTGGACTTTGTTCTGCTTTTACTGAAATTACTTATACACGAAACTGATTACAAATAATGACTCCAGTTTATTATCTTTTAATTTGTAAACGCACAGCATTGTCCTTTACTGGTGTGTAGCCATTGGAATCAAATGCTTACTTGATTTCAAATATAGTATTAGCGCATTCATTATTGTAGATTATCATTAAGAAAACAATAACACCTTATAATTATGTATTTAATATAAACGTAAACTTACAAAATACACTTTACAAATGACACAATTCTGATTGGCAAATGAGTTAAATTTGAAATAATATTTTAACTAAAGGCACTAATCCTAAAGAATTGGCTTCCATTAGATGCACCAACCCCTTCAGCAAGAGATCAGATAAGAAGCATGATACTGGTCTCTTCACCTTTTAAATTGTCTAATGATCCTTTAACGATTCTTGATATTGAGTAGTATTGTCATGAACATTCGGTGTTGTATCAAATGCTTCTCGTAGTTAGTTCCTTTTTTAGAAATATAATTTGTACAGTAAATTATATATAAACAGGTTCACCATCGCCCCGCAAGAAACGCAACAACTCGACTCCTACAAAGAAAAACGCAGCAGAGAAAAAACAAATACTTCAACAGTTGATTAGTCCAGCCTCAGCTAATGACCATTCAAAAAAGATAACAATGGGAGAGCTAATACAAATGTCAGAGAAGCGTACATTAAGCACAGTTGAAAGTGCACCAGCTTTTGTTGAATATGGTGTAGATAATAAAGACACATCATTTGCCAGTGAAGGCTCTACTCCATCGACTTCGCCATCGATGAGGCATATATCAGACCCGAAACTGGAGAAGAAAGTCACTTTTGCTAGGTTATTGAATAAAGTATCAGCTGAAATGAGCTCCAGTTCTGATGTAGACATGGTAAACACTATAGCTATTCCAATGGCTGTTATAGCTGATAGAACAGTTAAGGCTAAAGCGTCAAGCACTCCCCCATCCCCAGGTGTAGAAGTTAGATCTCCACATAGCACCTCAAGCAATCAAGGCAGCGACTCTATGTCAAGCCTCGACTTGACTTTAGCTCATGCTGCCTTAAAGAAGTATTCGAGGTAAGATTAGTAACACAATAAAAGAATTTTACTTTAGTAAAAAAGAAAGTTCCCATACATTTGAAATAAGGACATTAGCGTAATAACGTATATTGTAACAGATTATTAGTATTAAATAACTATTTATTTATCAGAACTCCAAAAATTTCAAGTGCGGACTCAATACTAGCAATGTTCCGAAACTTCTCGTCATCAACCGCCGCTGTGTCCAGAGCGTCTTCCGGCGGTATATCGGCGTCCAGCACCCCGACTGCCTCGTCTCCACAGGACGACACCGTCGACGACGACATATCTCTCGCCTCATCACACATACCCTCACTAGCGCCCGATTCACCGGTCGCTAGACCTCACAACACCATTGAGATTCAGGTAAACAAACGAAAAAGTATTCCTAATTATAAAAAAAAATACATTATATTAATTCTTAATGTTAACCGTTTCAGGTTCTTGATCCGCTGAGCGCTCACAAATCAACTAATTCAGGAAGCAATCTACTTCACCCTCCCTCAATCCTTCTTGAAGTTCCGAGTACTATAAACAAATGCCTATCACCAATACGAGAACTCCCCACTCCTTTACCAACTCCTCTGCCAACTCCCTTAGCAACACCTTTACCTTCGCCGAGAATGCCCAGATCCAAAATGGAATCAGATATCAAGAGTGAATCAACAACTTGTCTTTCCCCTAGCGAAGACGAATTAGATGAAATCAAACCGGAAAAACCTGAACGACCCAGTACAGGCTTAAGATTAAAGGTATTAAACGATCAAGTGAAAATTAAATACCAAGAAACTGAAAAAACTTCCACTACCATCAATTTTTTTGTCTTTCAGTTACGACAGCCAGCGATTAGTATAGACACGCCGACGCCGTCCACTCACGTGACTGATTCGCCTACTCCCAGTTTCACGCACAGCCAAGATTCGGAACGCGAGATGTCTTCTCCGTCACCTGCGCCACCAACATTAAGAGTTCCAGTCCTCATGATTGAGCGACCGTCACCAGGCTCGCCACCACCGAGACGAACACCTCCACATTTAGAATTCCAGCCACCACCGTTGATAACAGTCACCTATAACGCTAGCGAAGAATCAGACGAACCACTTTCTCCGAGACCACCGCCTCCATCAGCAAACATGTGCTATTTAAGTCCATTTTCAATGTCCGCTCGCGGTGAGAGAGCGCCTTCAGAATCAAATCTATCATCATCTGGGTACAGTTCCATGGCAAGCCCGGGTCCATCCCGGTGCGGTTCGAGCAATCCGCTTTGTCCTTCAGAAATGGAAGATCCAGGTTCAGGAGGTGGACCATCGTGTTTTCAGCCAAGACGACGACCTTTGATGAAAACCAATTCGAGTCCTGCCGGTTCGAGTAACGATAATAATGAACGGCGACGCGGCAGATCCGATTCGGAAACTTTGTCCGATGATCCTCTGCTAGAGTCTAACGACGAAGGGATCGGCACCGATGAAAGAGTCGATGACGTACCCTCAAGTGCTAAAGAAATGGAGAATTTGGTCCTTTTGAAGGAGACTTTAGAGATACCTCAAATTTGTTCCCCGAGTGGTGTAACGAAATGTTCTATAGTGAAATGTATAAGTGTTGAGAGAGGATTAGATGAAAGAACTAGCTTGAAGCCACCGATGTTGCTGTCTGACGGCAGCCGACCGCTCAGCCCCGTTAGCTCTCGTAGTGAAAGTCCACTAAGTGATAAAACGGGCATGGGAAGATTTTCTCCGCAGTTTTATGGACGTCAGCTACCATTTACAGATTCAGACGGCCTGTACGACTTTCCTAGTTCTGAGTGTGTAAAGGGAGGTATTTGTAAAGCAGGAAACAATGCACACAGAAAGGCTGGCAGAAGAAGAGATCGACGGACAACGAGAACTGTTTCACATGATGTGTCAGTCGCAACTAAAACAACACTTCCTCATATGCCGCATTCTATGCACAATTTGCTTGAGGTATGTTAACCATGTCATCTGTTAACAAGCAGTAACGAACTGTAGTTTTATATGCAATAGTTTTGATATCTTAGCGAAGCCAAAGTGCGTCATTTGAATGGCGATATGTCAATACGAGCTTTTTGTTGAAATTTGATCAGGTGCCATGTTGCAACCGCGGCCGAAAGGTAGGTAGACGTCGTTCTCGGTCGCAGGCGCCGGCGCTCGCCTCCTCCTCATCATCAGAAGACACCGTGAGCAATGCTTCAGTGGCATCTGTAGCATCAGCACGGGAATTGCGACTACCGCCAGATTTAGAAATGCAGGTCAGCAGGAAGCTTTGCTAATTTCAAATATATGATTATTTTCACTTTATCCAAGGTTATTTATATTTTTCTTCTCTTCTTTCTATTGTATATTGACGACATATTATTACTTTTTATCGTGTTTAATATAACTTTCCAGTATAATAGGACGTTTGCACTCTTACACTGTTTTTAAGATTTTTTTCTTAAATCGTGATAGTGACGCAATGATAACTCCATCTAATGTTAATAGCATTCACATGTTAAATATTAAATTTTTACTTATAAGCGCTATTTTTAAAAGAAATAAACACAAAATAGTGAATGGCACAATACACAACACTAAAACAAAAAAAATTAAATACAGCACTAAAACTAAATCTTCTACGAATCTCATTCTACGAGACTGTGTGTCTGACATACAAATATATTAATTTGCGTCTGTAATGATGAGAATTTTTTAAAAATTAATGAGATTTGTGGATGGTTCAAGAAAGTAATACACTACACTGCATCTTGTGTAAATATTTTTGCTTCTATTATTTTTTGTTGTTCGTTCAATATGTTCACAGCCGTGTGAGGTCCGCCAAAGAAAACCGCTTCGGAGACAAAAGTGCCGTAGTTCTGAGGTGAATGTACTAACGCGACATCTGACAATTTCTGCATCTTCTAGATTTTACCTTCTAGAATATTCGGCTTGTGAATTAACGAGTTGTTTTAGATTCAGCAGAATTGGGAGCTTCATTTGAATACTAAAAATGCTAATTGGTAGTAACGTACATTTTATGACAGTATATTTGTTGGTCCTTCATTCATCAAAATGTTACTGCGTACTTGAACTATTTCTATGTAGTTTTTTCTAGCATAATGATGTCGTTTCTTCTATAATTGTGAATGTGTCATATTTCTCATTTAGTCATTTTAATTTTAGATATAATATAATGTAGGTACAAATTTTTTATGTATAGTTTGTTATATATGAACGTAGTTACTGAACGCATGTTTGATCTCATGGATGTCATCGCAAATTTTCAATCAATTTTTATTATTTTAAATGTTGTTGTTTTAGGATACTTCGTCAAAAATATCATCAAGCTTGGACCTGACTGAGGACTCGCGTAAGCCGGTCAAAGTCAACAAGCTGAGGACCATAAGCAATCAGATAAGGTTTGTCCAAAAACTTCGATACAGATTCAAAAGATGAATTGCAGATTAATGTTTTAAATTAAATTATCTAAATAAGAGGACTAAGAACTGCGTAATGTTTATTCCAGATTTCTCCGTCGACTGGAACGTAGCCTAAAAATGAAGGAAAGTTATCCCGCGCTGTCAGATGACGAAGGTGACGAATCGTCGAGCGTCACATCACCTTTGCTGCAAGGACGGAAAGATATGAATCCGATGGGAGGCCACGCGATATCGGCGCCTCTGCTGTGTGCCGCGAGACCCAAAATGATGAGGCAAAGGCGTTACGACAAGTCGTTGTTAAGTGAGGAAAATAGGACGTTAAATGCCGCGGGGAACGACAATTCCGATTAAGTTTTATGGTGACTTGTGATCTTGTTAAATTTCTACGATTTTATACAAATTTTTGTGTTGTCTACTAATTGCTGTACCTGTCTGTATCGTCGTATTCAAGTTCAAAAATAACAAAATCTATTCACCGATTTGAGGTTAACTATTAGGCAGCATTTATAGCCTGCATTTTGACAGCTGTCATATTGACATTTATGTATACAAGATTCTAATGTAATTGTGATATATAGACCGATAGGGCTATCTCAACCGGTGGTCTTAAGTCAAACTAAATTATAAGAGCTCACTAGCGCCCCCCTGTCAACGTCAAAAACTAAATCGAACTATTGGTTTCTGGCATCAAAATGTCTGTATAAAGCAGTTATCTTTGTCATTGTCTATGACAAAACAAAGTTAACAATGTATTTTAAACGGGGATTATGATCTCCGGAACCCATGGTAAGTAGGTTTGATACATATTCTGTACCTGTATGAACCAACCGCGATAGTAGCGCCCCTCACCGGTTCAGATATCCTTGTTTGACTATACTTAATAAGTAATTCAATGTAGTGCTATATGTATACAGTAGAATGTTACTTCATTTTTTTTGTTTTTCTTTAGTTCTACTTTGAATGATTAGAACGCACCTATTAGAAAAGGCTTGATGATGTAAGTAATTATCTTATAGCAATAACAAAATTTTCTAGAAATTAATCATGTTCTTAGATAGAGCAGTTGTAGATGGTTGTCCTGCACTACTCAAACTTATTTTTTTTCATTGTTGAAGTAGCCCTAGTCCCCCTTACTTAGGTTAGGCTCCGAGCCCCTCTATGGGGACACATAGTGAGCTGGTGATGATGAACTAGTGCTGTATATAATAAGTTTGTATTTGAATTACTTTATCCAGATATTCCTTAAACATTTAAAATACCATAAAGTCCTTCTCCAAGATTTATTCTTTTTTGCGTAGATAAGTACCCAGTTCAAAATAATTCTCAGATGTTTTTCGCATGCTAACACAAATTGAATTTTGGTGTTCACCCTACTTTTGCTATTGTTATAAAAACTTTGTGAGTGTTTTGTAAATATATATTAAACGTATTGCTCAAATACATATTTTGTGAATTTTATCTTTTGTGCACTTTTTGCTATCTTGTAAATACATAAACACGTTGTTTGATAATGTAAATACCGGGAAAAGAGAGAAAACTTTCTTTTTTTTTGTTCTTAACTATATTAAATTATCAGTTTTTTAGTACGTAAGTTTAAATATATAAATGAAAGGCCCAAAAAAATGAGTATACCATATGCACAATTACCACGTATTTATATATAATATATGGTTATATGAGCACGTTATATTTTAAGAATGTAGTTTAGAATGTAATAATTCAAACTACATGTTTACTGCGCACCAATAGAATAGGGGTTTGCAACGATACGTACACTCATATATCTTAATTGTTCTAAATATATAATCAAATCATTATTTTAACATGCAAATGTTACATTAAAAGTTTTTGTTTAAAATTTTATTACTGGTTTAAAAAGTTTTACAAACTTTATGGTTATACAGATAAAAAAAAATTGACAAGAAATTGTGAAACGATTCTTGTCAGTAATATTTTTGCCGCCAATAAATTAATTTCTATTAGTTAAATAATAACGACTTTCTCTTACATTGTCAATTAATTTCTACAAACTTAAGAGGAAATATTTCAAGCTTACAACATTCATTTTTTTTTCATTTTAAATTAATCTTTTACTACGAATATTTCATAAATGTTAGTTACAGTCAGCAATAAAGCAAATGTGATTCGACTGTGCAAAGACTGACGTCTGATTGTGTAAGAACCAAGCGTAGTAACTTCCGTGTTATATTCTATGTGTACGTTAACTTGTGTGTAACTGTATCTGATAAAATAAATCATATTGAATATGAACTGCCTTTAATCCTCATCGTTTACCGAAATGCCCGAATTTTCTCAAGTGGAATAAATGTTGCCATTTAGAAAAAATAGATTCTCGAGAAAAAAACAATCGCTTTCTCATCGCAAATCTTTCTTGTAGCAAACATCATGTCTCACTAGATTCTTTAGCGTTCATTGCTTTATTCATCAATGTAAAATAAAATACTATCTTATAGTTAATTATGGTAATAAAGGCCTGTTCATTGAGACTGATTTTCTAAACTTAACTCTTAAATAGCTTGGTTTTCTCTTGAATGTGAGCGAGAATGGAATTATTCTGTTGTATTCTGTCTGTGTGTTACATATTATTTATACGTACACCATTTTAATGTCTAACATTTCTTCAGTCGTAAGGAAATGCGTACAACTGATATGTGAATATTTGAACTTCCTTAAAATCATTTCGATATCAAATTTGTGTTTAAAAATTGAAAATATTACCAATTATTGAATTAATTGATTTGTTAAGATTGTTAAGTATTTAGGATTATGAACGCACCTAATTATTATAAGCAATATATATACATTATTAAAATTAAATATTAGTAATAAATAAGTATTACATTGCCTAGTAACTACATTCAAAGTAGTCATGTTACAAAAAAAAAGGAATGAGAAAAGTTTTTATGAATTAATAAAAACGATTTTTCAAATTATTTACTTATTTATAAATATTAAAATGTATGAAAGCAATAATCATCCAAATTTTCATTAAAAAAAAGTTTTCAAATTTTCGACAAAACTTCACGCCGTATTAAAACTGTTGAAATGAAAAGTAACATAGTCTTTAGTTTTCACAATTTTCAACAACGTAAAAAGAGAGTTTAATATGATAAATATCTTAGTCCAAAAATGTCTTTTTCTCGCTACATAAATTAAAAAAAAATCACAGACATGAAAGGAATAATATGAACGGATAGTACTAAAGGTTTGTTCACACGGATGTTGCTAATATAATGCAAATGTAGCAATAATTCTGCATTTAAAAATGCAGGGTTTATCCATCCACATAGAAATTATTCAATCAGAAATAAAAGATTCTCGTTTTAAAACCTAAGTAAAGATGTTGTAAAGGCCATTTCAATCTCTATGCGCCCCGTGTTATATTTTTCTGTTATTTACTAATTATTTCGTTTTTATTCATTTGTTTATTTATGTATTCATGTAATAAAAACAGTGTTCAAGACATTAGAAGTAAAATTGGACAAATATAAACGTTATTTTAAAATGTTAAAAAATTACGAATCTTTTTTGAATGAAAACTTATTGTTCAACGTTTTCAATGTATTTTTTATCTGTGATCTGTATATTAATATTTTCTCATACATATTGTATATTTGTCACTTTCCGATAATTAACCGAATATTGATAAGTTTTACACTATTTTAAGTTAACATTAATAATTTATCATAAACATCAAATTCACTGACAATGTAATAATTAAATAATAAATTTGCTTGTTAAAACGAGTTTTATTCGACTTCCAACAATACTCACAGTGAATACTAAGCATTTCTTTAGGAGTCTTTCCGATGTTCTTACGGTGAAGGAAAACATCGTGATGCTGCACATATCTGAGAAGAAATTCAAAGATATGTGTGAAGTCAACCCGCACTTGGTCAGCGTGGTTGACTAAGGCTTAGTCACCCCTAACTTAGGGTAGGCTCCGAGCCCATCAGTGGGGACGTATAGTGAGCTGATGATGTAATGATTTAGTACGATATACTTTAAGGGTCTCTTAATGTCCACATAACATCTGTGTAACAGTTTAACCTCTATATTTTACTCACTGCAGTATTTTCTAGTCTAGTCTGTAGACCAGTGGTTCTCAAACTTATTTTGTCTACTGCCCACTTTGAGAATAAATATTTTTTAGCGCCCCCCATATTTTCACATATTTAAAAAGCACTATAACTTCAAATTAAATTAATTAATTATTGTGACCTATATATGTTTATTAACGGAGAATTCTAAACGAAACATTTACTATAACCCGCAACTTGAGACCTGCAGCGCCCACAAGCGGGCGTTGATCGCCCACTTTGGGAAAGACTGGTGTAGACTATGCCTAAACAAAAAGTGACATAAGGAAAAGGAAATAAAAGTTTAGCTATTTAATATTTTTATTACAGATAAAATAATAAATAATCCAAAGCTTAAGAGTCTTAAAATCACAGTGCATTTGATTCGCTGGATATTTACATTATCCATGTTATATTTACAATATCTTTCGTAAAACGAAATTAAAAATAACAATATGGTCTATGGTTTGATTAATTAAAATTATTGTTGAAGAAATTAAAAAATGTTTTTTCTAGCCCATATTTAAGATTTAATCAAACTGTAGACCAATAGTATCGAAACAAAATTTTAAATATACATTATGCAATCAAAAATAAATTAAGTACTAATATTATTATGAAGTTAATGTAATACAGTTGAACCTGGATGAGCGAGAACTTTTAAACAAGATTCTTTGTCTATTCTCAAGAAACTAACATAATAAGCGAGAAACTTAGTTAAGTGAAAAAAATATCGCATTTATTTGACTCTCGTTTATCCAGTTTCGACTATATTACGTAATACCAAAAAATATTTTAAATTAAATTAATAAACACAAAATCATTTGAAGAAATTCAATTTTCAATGTTTAAAAACATGTTTCGAATACGGAATGTTTCTATCAAGAAAATAATTTACTAATAAAAATTGTACTGATAAAAGCCAACTTATTTATCACTAATAATGACTATCGCACACAAATATATGAAAAAACTTTATACAAAAGATATCCTAAAAATCTAGATCTAGAACATACCATCATGAATACCGATAGGTACTAAAATAGCTAGAAATATAGCAAAATTCCTCAAAACTAAACGCCAATCATCGGGCACTGCATACGGCAGAATTATTGATGTTAATTTATGTATTTCATGGGCAGTAAAAATAAATATATAAGAAGTTAAAATAAGATTAAGTATTGGTGCACTCGGTATTAAAACTAACACACCATGTGTGTCCGCTGCGAGCCAAATATGTGACTGACTCGCAAACAACTCCAATGTGATTGTCCCGAACCATGCAAAGAGGTTTGAATGTTTTGTTCTTAAAGCTCCGGAGACGTTACGTAATATAATATAGCTAACAATAGGTAGAAATGCCACGTAACTGTGTATCTCATTGCAATCAAATGTATTGTTACATAGAAATGTGAATGTGACATATGTACCGATGCCGATGAATGCAAGTAATGTTGCTGTGAGAGACAATCCCGGAGTGAACAGATTGCTGTGGTTGTTGTCGTCGAGGAGGTTGTAGCGCTGCGCGAGGAGATATGCTGTTGCAAATATTATACCGTACGCCATTGAATACCTGTTCAAATAATTATTTAGTTCAATTTAACAATGAAAATAAGTAATAATAGTATTTTATCATAAACCAACATAAAAATTTTATAAGTCAAATTCCATACATGGTCACCATTGTTATATTACGTCTTAACATATTTTTTTTTTGTTGTGAAAATTGAAGATAATGAATAATTTTGAATAGTTCTGTAAGAAAGGTTGTTTTATGAGAAATTTTTGAAAATTATGAGATTTTAAAAACATATACTTTGTCTATGAAAAAAATATTTTGGGCTAAACAAAATACATTAAATAATTAGGTAAACAGTTTGAAAAAGTTTTACATGTAATCTTATTATTATAAATGCAAATGTTTAAGTCCATGTTTGTTTGAAGGTATCTCCAGAACGGCTGAACAGATCTCGATGAAATTTGGCATACATATAGAACATAGTCTGGAAGAACACATAGACTATTAATTCAGCGCAGTCAGAGTCGCGGGCGACAGCTAGTATAACATTGAATTAAGTTTTTTAACTTACCGGTCTTGTTTCCACATAAACCACCACTGATGTATATCATCATCGGAGTTTACAAAGAGAGCCTTCCATGGCCTTGTCACAAATATCTTCTGGAAGAACACCTCGCTCATGTACAGCACTGTCACTATTGTCAGCAGACCCATTATCTTCAGCGCTATATATAAATATTGATAAGGCTTGGACTCCACTGTGTGCGAGGAAGATTGAGTTATATGAGGAGGAAGCGCGAATATTACAAATACCTGAAAAAAACAAGAATTTATTTTCTTTTCTTTACGACATACAGTCTAACCTGGTGAAAAGAGAAACCTATATAAGAGAGATTCATTCTCCAGTGCCTGGGACTCTTGCTTATCCAGATACGGCTGTATTTATCAAATGAGATAAGTATTTTATTTTGTGAACCGACGTAAGACATAACATTTTCTCTTTTTTTTACTATCCTTAACATATTTAATGTCACGATTTTTTTATCATATCTTACTATTATAAATGCGAATATTTAGATGGATGGATGTTTATCAGTAGGTATATCCCGAACGGAAAAACGGAACCTCATGCAATTCGGTAAATATAGAACATAGTCTGAAAGAACACATGAGTTAAGTTTTTTTTAATTAAGACAATCAGTGTCGCGGGCGACGGCTAGTGAAGTATAATTAAATTTTCCACAATGGACAAATATTTAAAACAGTAAAACAAACAAAAACTTACCAAAGTATACCAAAAAGACACAAGTGGTATAAAACTGTAGAACTGATAAGGTCTATTCATCGTCAAGCATAACACCACAGTGAGGAAGTTCAGCCGGAAGATGACCCTGAAGTATCTGACCAGGCCGGTGTCTCCAGTCTTCCAAGTGTAGTAGAAGTGTCCGTAGCCTGTCAGGAAGAGGTAAGCGGAGACCAGTGCGCGCACCAACATGTAGATAGGAAGCACTTTGCTTGCCCCCGTCACCTGGTATACTAAAATCACAAGCTGCATCCAACCTTTCCATTCATCTGTTTGATTTCTGTGTAGAACTCTGAAATAACACGTTAAAATGTGAAAGTCTGTTAATTAATACTAAAATTTAATAATAACTATTATTTTTTTATAGTAATTTTGGTTAATACATTCGAATTATTTATTTTTTATACCTATGTCTATATGAAAATCTTACTAATATTAGATGGATGGATGGTTGTTAGAAGGTATCACTGGAGCATGGATTTTGATAAAATTTGGTATAGATATAGAACATATTCTGAATGGACACATAAACTATTATTTTTATTAAATTTCGAGTGTACGGAAGCGCGGATTACGGCTAATAATTTATAAAAAAACAAAAAAAAGTTATCAAACGTGAAAATACACACCTGCTTGACCTTGAATCATCAGTAAAGAACAATCCCAAAGCAAACACATATCCAACAGGCAGCCAGAAACTCCATTCCGAGTAATACTTGTTCTCTTTCATGAAGAAGTTTGTTCTATCGCAGAGATAGAAGTAGGCCATGATCATGCCGAGTTTAGCCAGAGCCAGCACGGGAGATGGTGGGTGCACCACAGTGGGCTGGTTCACCAGCGCGTAGCCATCCATCTTCTGCTTTATGTTCTGCGACCACCGCCATATGTATCTCAAACTGGCAGCGACTGCGCTAGAAGAACGAATCTTTTGTCACATTATAAAGAATATGACACATTTTTCTAAGCTTATTTGTGGCATATCTTATTAATATTATAAATGCCAATATTTTAATGAATAGATGGACATTTGTTACAAGGTATCTCCAGAACAGTTTCATAGATCTCGCTGAAATTTGTCATAGATGTAGAACATAGTCTGAGGGAACAGATAGGCTATTAAGTCCAAGCAGAAGCAGTCGGAGTCCACAGCTAGTATTCTACTAAATAAGTTTAGTATAAAAACGTAACATAACATGATTATGTATAAAGAAGAAGTGTATAATGCGTTATAACATCTCACCAGAGCAGGAACAATGCGAAGGTGAGCATCTGCAGCTGCGTGTAGGACTCCGGCTGAGCACAGCACGAGCCATCGTTGAAGTTCATGTGATCATTACAGAACATGTTGAGCAGGATCTGCGCACAGTGCCGCAGCGCGGTACGCGTCAGGGTTTCGCCCCCAGCAGACCCGGCCGCCACCAGCCGCGCCGCGCCCCACACACGCGCCTCGCTGTGACGGAGTATCTATAGTCAACAAGTCATATAAATCTTATAAAATTCTCGTATAACAATGTTAGTCATCACACTCCTCTAAAACGGCTTAAAAGATTTTTATGAAATTTGTTATGCATATGCAGTAGGTCTGAGAATCGGCCTAACTATCAATTTTTTTTTATCCCGCGCGGATGGAGCCGCGTGCGACAGCTAGTTTATCTATAATAGAGTGCAAATCAGTTGTCTGTGATAAAATAAAGTAACAAATCCATAACAAAAAAAAAGAAAAATCCTGGCCAGAATTTTTTTACTCATTTAACAATTAAAAGACGTTTAAATTGTTTCGACCAAATGACAATTTAATGTCATACTGCATTTTGTATTAAATTAGCTAACATATTAGATAAATCATATTAATATAAATGGATATTTGTTACTAAGTGTCTTCAATCATCAACAGCTTAATGGATTTCAATGAAATTTGGCTACAAATAGTTTTTTTTAATTCCGCGCAGGCGGAGTCACAGGCAAAACCTAGGTTTACAAACTCACCTCCATCGCAGCGCTATTGTAAGCATCAATATCATGATTATTGATCTTCACATCATCCTTTATAAGTGTTGTATCAACAGGCTCTAGAAGTTTCCACAGTACTTGTGTACCGCGCGACGCGAGCGCGTCTATAGGCTGAACTAATTGTGTTAGATTCCTCTTGTATTCCTCCAGTATAACATCCGTTGTGTTCCGGTTCTTTACCAACTGGAGACCAGTACTGGCCACTATCACTGATGGAGGTCGGTTTGAACGCTGCCTAAAACAAAGAAATTGTTTTTTTAAGACTACCTACAAATGAATAGATTGAATATTCTGATTTAGTTAAGGTTTTTTTAAGTATTTCATATGAATACAGTGTGTTTTATATAAATTATTATATTAATATGGTAAGTGAAAACTATATACCCCTTTTTAAGAATTATACAAATGTACGAACAAAAAATATGTCATGGTTAAAGTATATCGAACAATGGGCGACCGCTACTAAATTTTAATCACTTGTTATATGTTAACTGAGTAGGTGTAGGATAAAGATAGATAATTACCAAGCTCGGAACTGATCAACCATGGTCTTGGACACATCATTACTCCATATAAATGTGACAAACAGTTTCAGTTTGCTGTCCACATATGTATAGTTAGGCATACGGTGGTCTATCGTTGAATACGATGAGTCCAAATCTGATCTTGTTTTAAGGACACCTGTTGGTAACAAAAGAATCATAGTTTTTAATAATACTGATATCAAACATTGTTATTTGTAGTCAAAAATTTATGTAAAAATCTTACATATTAGCCCATAAAGTAGATATTGTAAAGAAGCTACAACACTGCTAAGGGTCAAATTTAATCAAATATCACAATGTTTTTGAAAGAGAAACTCCATGAATACAATATGCAATCCTTTATTCTATTGTTAGCAATATTTCTCTTGAATGTTATCATTTAATATATATTTCTTATCATAATAATAATACTATTGCAGTTAAATTACTTACCAATAAAATACTCGTACAATTGTTCGAGTCGTGAGTCGCCGATAAACGCGAAACTGTTGTATTTGCCCCAAAAAGCCAAGTAACGCAGGCATCGTCTTGCATCTCTATTACACAAATTAAATTAACTACTTACATATTACTAATCTTGAAACATTATTGGTATAGTTGTATTTTTAGTGACAGACAAAAAATGTGTAAATAAATCCTAATCTTGTCCAATTGTATGAAATTGACATTAATTTAAAAATACCCACTTTAGTGCCTCAGTAAATAATCAAATGTTTTGTCATATAATTTTTTAAAATGTTTGATGAATATCTTGATTATACAAATATAACAAATAGTTTATTACTATGTAAAAAATGTACTAAATATTTAAAATTCCTGGGAAATTTAGACATGTCTACAATCACTTAAATAACCATACATTAATTAAAAGATGGAGATTATCTTCAATATTACAGAATTCAACTTACGTTTTAGAGTATTTGTGCAACATACATCCATACGGCTGCCACTCATGATCACCTTTGTACCTCCCTGATGTGAGCAGCCATGTACAGGAGTCAGGACCTGGAGACAAATTAATGATAAAATAATTACACAATTACGTACATGTCCTTGAGAAAAAAATAAAACATAGCAATACTCTAAAATATGTATTTGGCAATGCTTATGGTTTTATATAAATAATAAGCGAGTAGACTACAAACAATTTACAATAGCTTGCTATTCATAGACCATTTCAAAACATGGGGAACTGGCATGATGGTGTCAATAATTAAAAAAAATCACTCAAGGCATAGCATTTTAGAAATTATTTTATTTATAACGCTAAGATTGTTTTCAATTTACAAGCCGCATAAAGAAGACTCGGTTATGTTTTTATGCCGGGTTGGTAGAGCTACAACCACAAAAGAACTTACCGTATCGGAGATGTAAAATACCATGGTATCCAATAAAACCTAGCACTAGCACGAAAGCTAATAATTTTGCATTTTCAACATTTAATTGTTCAATAAACCACTCTGCTGATGTTTTCTTCGGATAAGAAACTATAGCCATAGTAATAATAATTCAAACGTAAACCAAATGCTCACTTCGCAGTATTTAAATGGCACTAAAGAAATAAAATCGCGTATTCTTTAACTTCAATATATTAAGTAATAACCGATGAAACTGTGAAATACAATTAACTGGCTTCATAATATTTTAAACGGTAATAAAATAACTAGCTTTTTTATGACAAAGGTGACAATGACAAGCACGATGCTGCCATAAAAATTATTTAATTACCCAAAATAACCCTATTAACTGTGATACCCATTTTTTAACATAAAATGTTAATAAGAAAATACATACATATTGACTCGCCTTATCAATCTAATATTGTAAAATTATTATCCACGAATTTTATAGCCAAATTCTACCATCGCAGATTAGGTTCCAATGTATATAATGGCCACTACTGTAACGAGAATGGCCCACTTGCCCGGTGAAATACCACGATTATACAGAATATAGGCGTAAAGTGGAAGTAATTCTGCGTTTCGTCTGATGAGTGTACGTGCCGACAGCCAAATTTTAGTCCTCTTTATGTAAAGAATTAATCGGACGAGGTCAGTTTACTATTTTGGGGAATTCTGGGTACCTTGCACGTTTACCAAAGAATACCTTTTACTATAAAATGGAGCTTAAAATCGTTATTACAAGAACACAACAAGAACCCTTATTTTACACTAATTAGGAAATTTATTTTTTTAGTAATAATGTTCACCTTAAATATTATTAAAATTGAAACAATTTATTAATATTCTTGTTGTGTGACATAATAATATAAATATTTCCTACCACGTTATTTTTCTGCTGCGTTCAATCTGCGTTGCTAGAAAAACTTTGGTTTTGTTGCAAAACTTTGTTCTTGTCATTAATTTTTAAGTGGTGTAGTGGCGTATGGTGTAGCAACCCCGTTTTCTTTTCGCGAGAGTTCGTTTCAATTTTCTATCCAAGTTTCAATCTATAGAAGTACAAGTACAATCTTATTATTTATAATTATATACTCTTTGGCTCTTTGGTCTGAACTGGAATAATGGCGGCTATGTCCCCGTCGGAGGTACGTAAAATTAAACAAAATGTTACCGTCTACAATGACTTTCGGTTAGTTTTAAAGAGGACACTAATCGTCGATTTATGTATTATGTTTTCCTTCCATTAATAAATGTTAAATGCAATATAATTTTGTTATGGCACAGCTGTTTTGACAGATCAATCACAAGATTTCTTTCAAATTCCTATTATTTTTGTTCTGTCGAAATATGTTTCGTGTCAAGATCTAATTATACGGTTGTTATATTGTCATAGATCGATAAGGATATAATTTTTTATTTTATATTTTTAGCGGAGATTACAAAAAGAGCTCATGGCTCTAATGAAAGAGCCTCCTGCAGGTGTTACAGTCGACGGAGACCAAGCTAGTCAAAATTTAACATTGTATGTATTGATTCTGTCCATAATTATCTAATAAATATAATTGCAAAGTAACATTAACTATAAAACCATTTTTATTGAGAATACAAGTATTGAAATAATTTTTATAGAAAAAGTAAGATGATTAAAACAAGATAAGGATGGTAATCATTATTTTTTAAATTGAGCTTGATATATAATTTGGTATATCAACAAACCTGTCACAAATACATTTATCACTCATATTTAAGACAAATTATTTCTTATTTGAATAATTTTCCTTTAGCTCATTCTCAAGAACAATGAATAATATTACTTCAGAATTGTTACCTTGATGCTGATAACAAAAGCTATCTATTAATGCAAAAACAATATTATAATTAATCTTCAATAATAAACTCAAGACAAGTAAAATTTAAGATGAATTACTATAATAATTATAAGGTCATAATTTTAGTCATTGTAAGCTTACAAACATTGCCTTTAAGGGACTAGAGGCTACCCTGCAGGTTGATTAGGCTTCAGTCAACCACATTAATATTATAATATTCAAACTTGTCTAATATAAATAAAATTTTCAGATGGACAATTCACATGGAAGGAGTTCCTGGTACATTATATGAAGGAGAAAAATTTGTACTTCAATTTAAATTTACAAATAAATATCCATTTGATTCACCAGAGGTCAGTGTATTTCTTAAACTATATATATATGTTGAGTAAATATGTATGTTGTATGATAGAGTATATGTATAAAAGGTGAATTAGATATGATGGCTTTTAAAGATGTAGGAAGAGTAGCACATATTGTGCCAACACTGTAGGGTAAAAGGCAGGTTAATGACATATCTTGCCTTAATTTGTTAACATCAAATTAACACCTGGAGCCTCTGTGGCTCAGTGGCCAAGCACTTGACTTGCAATCTGCGGGTCCTGGGTTCGAATCCCTCCATGTACCAAAGTGTTTTTTGATTTCCGATTTACATATGTACATTTATCCAACGTTCTTATGGTGAAGGAAAACATTGTGATGCAACCTGTACATATATGAGAAGTAATTCATAAGTAAGATATGTGTGAAGTCAACCAACCCGCACTTGGCCAGCGTGGTTGACTATGGCCTAATCACCCTTAACTTAGGGTAGGCTCCAAGCCCCTCGGTGGGGACGTATATTTTCCTCATGAAGGGTTGACATAGTATATCATCACTGCATACATCTGTATCCAATGTTGAGTAAGATTAATTAGCAATGGTCCATTTATGTTACACCTAAAGAATAGTAATGTTTTCCGAGGAACTGTATTCTTACTGATTTTAACCTAAATTATGTAACCAATTCCAAAGATACGTTCCGGAGATACCTTTTAACATTCGTACAAACTTTCGCATTTATAATATTAGTAAGATATGTTAAATATCTTTGGCATAGACTTATTGATTTTTTTTTGTAAATTAGTGAACAGTTTAATCAAATTAAATTACAGTCCATTGACATTTAGGTGTGGTTCAGGTTGTATGGGTCAATGTTCTCCCTTTGTGGTTTTCGTTACACCGCGCCCTATTAACGCGTAAATTAATCCTTCGAAAGTATTCATAATAATATAGTTAAATTATAGACAGAGAGATATATGAAAATAAGTTTTGGATTCTAGCAAATATAAAACAAAGCAGAAATAATGCCAGATGATAAGTATTTTCCTGATAGGTTTACGAGACAAATAGGATACAATTTTTCGATGCATTGAAATTGATATTTTAAGGAAAAATAATTGCTTAAATGAAAAATCTAATATTATGTTACAAAATCCACTTCCATTTAATGTCCTCTCAACCGGAAAGTTATTTTACAATCTTGTATGTACATTTTGTTATAGATACGAAATTTGTTTACTTGCATACATGAATCTTAAAATATAGAGAGCTATTTGAGTCTAATAACCACTGCATTCAGAATTCTTCTTGTTTTTATTTTTCTTAAAAATTTTACAAATTATAACAAGTTTTTCTTTCAATCTCGGAAACCCCACAGTTAAGCCAATTATTATTTTTTTAAGATCTACCTAATTACATTTTTTTTTTGTTTTATTTAATTGTATTTAAATTTAACAATCATTTAATCACTCACAAGTTTGAGTTTAATTAAGATTTGACTTAAAAAAAAATATGTATGTCATACTAATACTATAAATGTGAATGTTTTTATGTATGTATGGATATTAGGATGTATACTAGAACGTCTGCTTGGATCAGGATGAAATTAGTCATAAATGTAAAATGAAAAATGTCACAGTCTGGAAGAACACATAGGTTACGGATTAAGTTTTTATTAGTATAGTTTTCTGTACAGTCAAGATATGACTGACAATATCATCCAAACTTATACCAAATTTACAGTAACTATTATAATAGTAGGTGTATGTTCCGTAGCAGTACTATACTGTCTATTGCTCTGCTTTGATATTCCGTTCTCGTGTGAAGCTAATTCTGTAATTAACTTTATAATAGTGTTGTAAGGCTTAGGTACATCAATTAGCATAGATATAAATAGACTAGATGTGGTCACCAATTTAATATAACATTAATAGTTTCTATATATATATATATACACTAATGAACAAATTATCTATTTAATAGTCCTCTTAATATTCATATTATTTCTTATTTTATTAATCTTATATATACATTTATTTATCATATTTTTATTATAGTACATTTCATATTCAAAAAATATATATTTTATATACAAAACATATATTAAAAACAGAACACCAACGGCTGCAGAAACCCATGATTCAAACAACCAGTGGTCAGGGCTGCAGACAGGAACCTTCTCACGATTCGTACGGTTTCTAGGATAACTGCCTTTTGTACAGTTTTTGTAATCTTATTAATATTATAACTATGATTGTTTAAATGGATGGATGGTGATTATTGATGACATTAGATATTGATATAGAACATAGTCTCTGAAAGAAATTTTTGTTAATTACGCGGATTAAGTGGCAGGCGACAGCTACTTTATGATATTAGTAAGATTATTCTTTTAATATTCATGTAGTGTATTTTTTAATAATAGAAACAACATTTGACACTATATAATTCATAGTAAGAAATAACTCACCAATACATATCATTGGAGAATTTTTTTTTTAAGATATGAATAATACAAATAATATGAAAATAGTAACAATAGCCCTTTATGAGTGTGTCCTTTTCAATGATTTGTGTCAATTGCTCTCCATTGTAATTAATACTACATAAGGACAAGTATTTGAAATGTATATAAGTTTTTTTGTACGTAAAAAATGGTTAATACATATTGTGAAACCCACAAAGTAAATGTTTGTCAGTTTCGTAAAATAAATTGTCTATTAAACGTGTTGTTTTATAAGGTCGTTGAACTTTAAAGTCAAACAGATTCGAGTAATCCGCGGATATGAAATGAGCTCATTCAATTTGAGACAATCCAAAGATTAAAACTGGCTCTGTGATATGACATGTGTCATTTCAACTCGCACTATAACGAAAGGTCGATGTCTCGCTTCATTATTACGTCTTATCGTAATTGTAAATGTTATCTTACTATTATAAATGCAAATGTTTGGATGGACGGATGGATAAAAAGGCTTAACGGATCTCGATGAAATTAGCCATAGATGTAGAACGTAGGCAGATAAACACAGGCTATTTTTTTTAATCCGCGCAGACGGATATGCGCGCGACATCTAGTAATATTATAAATGCGAACGTTTGGATATATGGATGGATGTATGTTAATATGTATCTCCAAAAAGACTTAACGGATCTGAATTAAATTTAGGATAGATGTACTGTACTATGTCTGGAAGAACATATAGGCTACATTTTTTTTTAATTAAGCGCGGACAAAGTCGAAGGCGACAGCTAATTTATTAATTAACTAACCTTGCTTGCGACTTCGTCTACGTATTCCAGACTGTTCCATTCTAGTTCTAGAATACATTAACAGTAGTTTTCAACTGAGTAAACTGCGCAGCTGATTTTTCACAAGGTAGTCTTGCTTCTTGTTAATATATTTTATGTATTGCAGGTGACGTTTGTGGGTAATAACATCCCGGTACATCCACATGTCTACTCCAACGGGCATATCTGTCTGTCCATTCTGACAGATGACTGGTCTCCCGCGCTCTCCGTGCAATCCGTCTGCCTCTCCATTGTCTCCATGCTTAGCAGTTGCAAGGAAAAGGTAAAGAACGATTGTGGTCTGAAGGGCTCGGAGCCTACCCTAAGTTAGAGTAGACTAGGCCGTAGTCAATGCTCACCCAGTGCGGGTTGACTTCACATATCTTTGAATTTCTTTAGAGATATGTTTGATGAAAATATTTTTGAATTTTTTTACAGAAACGGCCGCCTGACAATTCGTTTTATGTCAAAACTTGCAGTAAAAATCCTAAGAAAACGAAATGGTGGTATCATGGTATGTACTCTTTTATATATTTTACAATTAATAATTTTTCCAAATCAATTACTAAGAGAAACTAGAAAAATACCAGTAGACATAGTATTTTTTTCCAAATAAGCGTTATTTCTCTGTCCATCCCCTTTAGAAAAGATTTACTAACTTTGAGTTAATATCGTAAGAATTTTGTATAGAACATTTGTACATTAGATTGCATTGTATCTTATCTCTCCGACCAATCACAATCTTATCTTCTGATATAAAATCGACAATTCATCAGTTTTATCACATTTCAACACTTTTAGTACGTGTTTACATCTTTGAAATGTAATTAGTAATTATGTAGGCTTAACACATTCAATGCTATTGCATAGCGAGTTCACATTTATACAATGATGTAGCATGGAACGTGTTAAGTTCCCGGGATAGTCATCTGAACTTATACTGTCGAACTTGGATAATGACAAACTTCTATAAGCGATAGTCATTGCCTGGTTTCCACAGATGACCTCCTTAAGAGAGAAACTTGGCTTAAAGAGGAATAAGGGAGAAAGATATAGCGGTTTCTTAGTTTCTCCTTTATCTAGGTTCGACTATCAAATATGAATGTCGAAACACTATTACGAAAATGCATGTAATGTTTTTTGCGTGGATATAAATACGTTTTTTTTATCTATGTCGATTTAAGTGTTGCCTGTTGTTTATGGTTGAACTGATTATGACGAGTAAGGTATGCGATTCATATTTAATCTCGGAGTTTCTTTGGATTTAGTAAGTCGAGTTTATTGATTTAAAGAATTTACAGTTTAAAATCTTGTATAAATTTGTAATTTCCAGACGATTCAGTATAAATCCAAAAGCGGCGCTGCTGTTTCGAGCAATGGACGTTTAAATCTCAATATGTGATAAGAGTTACGATACAAAATGGTTTAACATGAAATGTTATGTATATACTGTGTGTACTGTGCGAGTCCCCGCGGTCTGCGTCTGCGCATACCACCACGCGCAATCCGCGCATCTGCGCATCCCGCAACACCGGACTGCATAAATTGTAACCCCCAACAGCCGGCCGCTTTTGTATAATTAGACAATTGTTTATTTACACTAAATCTACCTAAAATGAAGAGAAATTTATAAATTAATAAGGGAATTTCAACTATTATTATGTGTGTGGATGTCATTGATTTCTTCAGATAGCTGCGTAGGAAATATGTTTAGACTAAATATAACATTTACCATCAATATGCCCTAAAAGTTCACTCCTCTATGTAACAATATCGAAACTTACTGTTTTAGGATATTTTTAATCTATGACAATTTTAGTTACGTTCAGATATTGAATGATTTAAAATGTTTCATTTCTCATAAATATTAAATAAGATAAAATTAGCGCAAGAACTAAATTTCTTTACACTTAGTTAATAAACCGTCCATTTTTGTGTCCTTTTATAGTAATTTATGTAACAAATCAAATATTTGTCATGTCATAAATGAACATTCGTGGGAAATTTGACATGAAATAGGGTTGCCATTTACAATTAATCAATGTTTTTTTTCTTTTAAGGCATAGAGAAGTGAAACACTAGTTTAATTTCAACTCGCACAAAATTTAAAAATATCGATTCTTAGCGTTTTTTTATCACAAAAGCGGCCGGTTCATACGGGCTCGGTTTTTTACTGTGCTAAATTATAAAATACATTGTAAGTAGCGTAATAGGTTATAAATAAAATGGTACTGCTTATCTTATAACTTTACGAATAAATTATCAGTCAACTTATTTGTATATATAATTTTTATAGATTTATTTGTTTGTCGCATTTTTTTTTCTTAAATATCGATGTTTTTGAATCGATTTATTAATTTAATCAATTTGTAACCCTCACATTTATCACAAGTTTAGGTAAATGCGTATTATTTACACCAAATTAATAATTTTATGGACATTTCATATGATGACTTAATATTTAAAGTTCGCCTAAGGCATAGTTTTGTTACACAATGATAAAAAATCGCTAAAAACTTCAAGCTGCAAATGCTTATTTCTATTCATTTAAAATCACTGTCAAATATAACATAACTATTATCTATATTTATGCAAATAAAAAGACAAACACAAGGATTTCAGTAAAAAATAAAGCATTCTAAGTTGTAAATTTGATGGCAATTTGTGAAGTTCTGGGATGAAAAGTTCCTAAACTAGGTTTATATTTAGACCATAAATATGTCATGCATGTGTGATAATCATATTATCCTAATTGGCAACTCATAAAACTGATGCAAATTAAAAAAAAACGAACATACCGGAACCTTTCATTCTGTCTCTTTTCCAAAACCGTCTCTTTTTTTCAATGTCACTGTCATGTTGGAAATGAGTCGATCAATTAGTTAGTCCTATGAGAGAAAAAAATGGAATCAATTTTCTTTTACCAATAATCTTTAAAACATTATCCTGGTAGATGTCATTTCACTGCTCTTAAAATAACTTTGGAAACTATGCCGATAAAATCTAGACTTTAGTCATAGGTACCTTTAATTTCATCCCAGACGTTAAAATATTTGTTCAGCAACTTGAAATAAAAAAATTATAATTTAAATTATTTGAATGCTTTATAATTAGATTTATATTAATCATATAAATTCCGCTGTATGTAAAAATATCTGTTCGTATTTTTATAACGCTTCATATAATTTTCAGTTTACTTCTTGATGACAACTGTTTATTTGGAATGTATAAATTAGCCAACTTTAATGTAGGATTCCACTGTTGTTATATTTATTGCACAATGAGTATTACAGCAGTGGAATTGTATTATTATAATTGCATTTGCGCCAGTATTCTTGTGGCTTATGTACTTGTATAAAATGATTTATGTAATTTAAATGATTGTTTTATTTCTAAAATGCTGCTAAAGATGAACATAGGATAATATTGCTACACTATATATGTGTTTATATGTTTAAAAAGTATTTCTTTTGTTCATTATTCAATGATTTTATTAATTTGTGGCAAATGGGTAAGCCACATTTAATTGGGGAACTATCAGGTTGCCCCAAAAAATGAATTCTTGGAACATGTTGGATTAGAAGATATGTGTTCAAGTTATGTCAAGATTATATCTTTGATAAGGTAAAGAAACATTTGAAATTATTCATGATTAGTAAATAAACAAGTACAATTATATTTTCCATCACAAATAATTATTAGAAAATTGCCTCAAAACGAGCTCTTAGACACATTCCTTTATCGAAATTTAATAATTTATCTACATTTGTGTTATAATTTAATATGTAACAATGAAACTGTGTAACCGATGGTAATTTCAATCAATTTCATGCTTTATTTATTGAAATAAAATAGTTTCAACATAGTCTGTGTCAAGCCTGTGTTTTATTATTCCTTCATATTTAAAAAAAAATAAAAATTTATAAATAAATGTTCGTCATGATAAATTTATTTACAAAGACCATAAATCAACTTTACAATATTTACAACTATTAAAAGACAGGATGCGCGGAAATGAAATGGAAAACCAAAGTATCTTTGCCTTTAAATATGTTTTATACTTTATTTCTGAACATCCTGTATAATATACATCTGAAAATATATTACAACACAATTGACAATTAACAACCGTTTTATACAACATCCTTTATGCAAAGGGGAGGTGTTAAGCAAAACTTATAATCTAGAAATAAATTAAAAATCTGTAAACATTTACACATCATTCGCACAAATAAAATCTTAAACAATAACTGAATAGTCAAAACAAAAGCTACAGCATGTTTCTGTAGTAGAAAACTTTTCTTTTAAAAAGTTGCAAAGATAAATATTTCAATTAGACATTAAAAAGGTTGTATAAAAAGGATGAGAAAAGAGGTTATACTCTCCCTTAGACATGTCAGATTGAACATGACAACTTACAACTGAGAGTTAACTTACATAATAGTAGTACTAAAGCAGTTAATCTAATATTTAAAAGAGAAGACATCTTTTGTATGTGGACTCTACCTATATGTTCAAGGACCTTAAAAAATTATGTTACATAACATTCGAAAAACATTGAATAATTTAATGAGATCTACAATTATAACTTTGTGTTTAATACTTGATAACTGCCAGCAATTACGGAATGCAAGTCAAAAATAAATTCGTTATCATTTATTCACTGTGACCTTAATTATTTAAATGCAATTTGTAAAAACCTTACGTTTCATCAGATAAAAGAATAATTGAGTTGGCTGAACCGCCTTAAACCAGTGAGCTACATTTTATACTACATCTACAAGTTAATTCCAAAAGATTTCAGAAGTCAATTCGAGTTAGAAATTGCACAGACCGTACATAAGATTCAAGTCAATGATCAATTAAGGGCCCTTATCCATATTGACATTATTTTTCTTTACAGACAAAGAGATTAAGGTTTATTATTTAAATTTTTAGATATTTGAGTCAAATAAAAGTCATGGTTGTACCTCGTTACAAGAACACCTTCATTCACTTTGACATCAGCATCCGGAGAATAATCAATGTAATCCCCTTTAGCGGTAGTCATTTTACCATCTACCGTTCGTATAATAGCATCTCCTGCACATAAATCCCATTTCTTAATAGCTGTAGCATGAAGGTACACATCGTAAGAACCATTTACCACTCCCATGACTTTATAACCAGCACCTGCAGCTGTGGTTACCGTTGTCATAGGACCAAATGCTTCTCTAGCCATGTCAGATACTTTCCCTTGATGTGATATTGACACAACTACTCTTGGATTTTCTTTATATTCTACTTGCTAAAAAGAAACATACTTTATTATAATTTTTATTGATGCATAAAACAAAGTCACTCATAAATAAGCTTATAACAAAAGAGTTCATTCTTATATCAATCTATTTAAATGAAGGTGACATCCAAAATAATTATTTTAGGAGACAAAATTGTGGAAAATACTTACATAGGCAACATTAGCAATGTTACTTGAGGTTTTCTTTGCAAGCCAACCCCAGTAAGTCTGAGGATTGTCCGGTGGGAATGGATAATGAATTACACCAATTATTGGTATGCCTTTATAAGCTACACACACCATAGTTGTCACATACTGATATAGACCCTCTGGAAATAGTAAACAAAACATTATTAAAACATTTGCTATTCAAAGAGAACATAATGATAAACATACACCGTATGCATTATACATGATTTTTTACTTAAAAGATGTGGTTGCTAAACTTTAAAGACTTTTAGAGACTTAAGTAGACAAGTTACCTGTATATTCCTTTGTAGCGTCTAAAGGATCTATCCATATCGTAATATCTTTAGCGAAAACGAGTTCGTTGTTCATATTTTCGATCATACGATGTTGAGGAGGTGGTGTGTCCGTATTGAACGGTTCCTGGTCTTCGCACTTAGGATCGTTTATAGAGTGCTCCTCCGACACAATAGTCAGTTTCGGAAACGTCTTACTCAGTCCATAAAACATGACACAGTGCGATGCTTGATCCGCGTCCGTAACAGGATCATTGACACCTTCTTTCGTCTTCCCTTTGCTTTTTATAATCAAATCCCGATTCGTACCCTCCATCACTTTACTCCCTCCATATTCTGCGGCATGGATTGCGGCTGTTAGTAATGTTTTTAAATTAATAATTTCATTTTTATCTGTCGGGTAAGCTCCACCGTTTGATCGCCAGTAAATAATGACAAACAAAATAAACAATAATGTAAAACATGCGAATTTATTTATTCTTAATGTGCCGCTGAAATTCATTATGAATTTAGTCAATATTAACTATAATTTAATTTATGTTAGAAAAACTAATTACGTTTCACATCACCGTAAAACTTGATTTTGACAGAATTTTGACAATAGCATTGTCCATTTTGTTTTGACATATATGTTTAAACCATAAGTTACCAGTTTAAAAAATATTTCGTTATCGTAATGCCTATTTTGTGTGATAGCAACACAACAAAACAAACTGTTACCAAAGAGTATATAAGTATATACTGTTACCAAAGAGTATATATGCTGTTACCGTCAAATCTAATTGTTTATGGTTGATTTGACATTGACAGCAATTGACAGTTGACATTGACAGCTACGATTGTAACAGCGTTTCAAATTCAATAAAAGTAGTGGGTTAAGGTGGTGTGATACAGTTGTAATTAATTACAGAACTATAAAAGAGTTATACAAAAATGATTTTGGTCGACATTTATGAAATGGTGAGCAGTAAAAAATTGGTTTAAAAATAATATTTTAAAAAATTATTTAGTTAATTATCCAATCGAACTTTATTTGGAATTAATAATAATTTTCTCTTCATTAGATGAGTTGCTGGACGTTTCTCATCGCACTTCAAGTTGTTATCGTCTCAACTTACTTCTTATGGACGAGAAAAAGTAAAAAATACAAGGATCCACTGATGACTGATGAGCGCATAGAATGGAATCCAATGCCTCTGGTGCCTTACGAAGTTGAGAACGAAGAGCCCCCATTGATGGGTAAAATAGACGAAAACGTACTTAACGTCGGTGCCACTAGCTTCCTATGCCTAGATAAAGAGGAAGTAATCCTTGAAAATGCTATAAATTGCTTACACAAGTATGGAGTGGGTTCATGTGGTCCTCGAGGCTTCTATGGGACTATAGATGTGCATTTAGAGCTTGAGGAACGCTTGGCCAAGTTTCTAGAAGTAGAGGAGACCTGTGTATATTCCTATGGATTCTCTACTGTAGCCAGCGCTATACCAGCATACTCCAAGAAGGGTGACATCATATTTGCGTAAGTTTACAACAAAACAGGAAAACTATCTTAAACCTATAAGATAAATTATGGGATATTCTGCATGTTTTCCTTACATATCTACCTAAACACATATTGTCTTGATATTTTCCTACTATACATTTATAACCAATGTACGTATCCCTTCCTAGTTATGTACATAAGGTATGTTAGTAAATATATATACTTTATTATGTTTGTCCTAAATTTAGTTCAATACATAATTAAAATAAATGCTATGATGATTTTTTCAAATATTAAAATGTTAATATTTTTTCATTTACAATCTTAAATCTAAAAAAATATTGTCTATCTGCTGTTAAAGCCAATAACTATTATTTTATATTTTTTTTGTTGACTTTACCATTCTATCCATGATTACTTAGGTTACTAATAATTAAAAATATTATAAAATATTCTTCGTCAAAGAGCATCGGTGGCTCAGTGGTCAAGCACTTGACTTGCAATCTGCAGGTCCTGGGTTCGAATCCCGCTATGTACCAATGTGTTTTTTGATTTCCGATTTGCATATGTACATTTATCCGACGTTCTTACGGTGAAGGAAAACATCGTGATGCAACCTGCACATATCTGAGAATAAATCCAAAGATATGTGTGAAGTCAACCAACCCGCACTTGGCCGGCGTGGTTGACTATGGCCTAATCACCCTTAACTTAGGGTAGTCTCCGAGCCCCTCAGTGGGGACGTATAGTGAGCTGATGATGATGATTCTTCGTCAAACTTTTCATTTTTGTGTGTTAATCAATCATTTCTAAAACTTCCTTTTTAATCATCATAAAGTCCAATGTGAAGTGTATATAATCGATATATTATTTACTTAATCAACAGCTTCATTGTTACATAATACATAAATACATATAATTTGTTTTCCTTTTAAATCTATTTGACAAACTAATATTATTGATCACGCTTAAAACAATTTATTATGCAAATAAAATAATATGATATTCAAACAAAATACATTGCTAAAGTAATTTCTTATATTACAAAGTAATTAAACACATAAATCTTAAATCAAATATTTATTATTACTAACAACTATTTTCTTAAATGTACTCAACTTAAGTTATTTTACAAATGCAATGACACACATTTTAAAGTATTTTTTTGTTATGATGTAGGTTAAAAAATGTGTACATTTTAAAACTTGTCTCACATAAAAAAATGTTGTTTTACAAGTTTTTGACAACTTTATCTTTCGCTTTTCCGGTTTGAAAGCATCTTGCTATTATAGTATTTTACTTTGTCGGTCTCCTTTAGTATTTTACTTCGTTAATGATGCATCTAATATAATTTGCACTCCAAAATATACGATAATTGAACCTTGCAACATTCAATCTTGACCTTTATTGATGACTAATTGTTCATGTTAAATTTTACAGCTAATGTTGCTTTGATTTAGTTTCTGTCGATCAAAAACGATTTCCATTATGTGGAACTAAACGTAAAATATACATATTTCCTTTATCGAAATCATAAATTATAATTTACCTCTGAATTAAAGTTGTGTGAAATGTAAGGTCATGCAGTTTTCATGACCAATTACCTTATCTTTTAAGTAAGCTATAGTTGTTAAGAATATTGCTGTACAGTACACACCACTCATCTACCATAGTGTCTAAAAAATTTACGATTAAATTACTCTACCATAAACACCACAAATGAGGTCAATAACCTTAATCTGTCAAAATTATAGGTTTAAAAAAATACGCTAATATTATTTTTTGAACTCGGATATTTTGATTTAAAATAAATGTCATTTAAAAATTCCTGATTCGATATAATTTTATCGATTTCATTGTAATAACATACCAAAAGTTTGTATTGTTGACTAATATATTCCTTAACAGTGACGAAGCTGTCTGGTTCGCTATACAAAAGGGTATCGAAGCTTCTCGAAGCACTGTCCGTTACTTTAAACATAACGATGCCAGCGACCTCGAGCGACTGCTGTCAGAAGCCGCACAGAAGAAGGAATTGAACCCGAAGAGACGTGCCTTCTTAGTTGTAGAGGCTATTTACTTTAATACTGGCGAAATGTGTCCGTTAAAACAAGTGGTGGAACTAGCCAGGAGATTCAAACTGAGGATTATCTTGGACGAAAGTTTAACTATTGGGGTAAGATTTTGTGGAACTGTTTCTAATAGTTTCATTCCCAGGAATTGACCACTGTTTAAGGTTCCGTACACCGAAAACAGAAAAACGGAACCCTTATAAGATGACTTTGTTATCCGTCCGTCAAGACCCTTTTTTTTAACATAAAGCTGTAGCTAAAGGTGTCGATTTAGAGACTAAGAGTTTTGATTGACAGACTATGGTTTTGGTTTTTTTTTATAGGAGAAGGGGGCTAACGAGCAACGAATCGCCTAAAATTATTTGATCTGACGCCCATGGACATCCGCAACGCCAGAGGAACCGCAGATGCGTTGCCGGCCTGTATTTCTTATTTAATTAACTGTTGTATATAGGTATTGGGTAAACATGGTCGTGGCATAACGGAGCACCTGAAGATACCCCGAGACGAGATCGACCTGATCGTTGGATCGCTGGAGCACTCATTTGCGACCATCGGGGGCTTCTGCGCCGGCACGCACTTTATTGTGGAGCATCAACGGCTCTCCGGACTTGGTGAGATCTGGCGGAATCCGTCACTTAAACCTAAAGTTTAGGATTGTCTAACATTTAGAAAACTAACTTAAAAATGTAATATTATTTAGGTTACTGCTTTAGCGCTTCATTACCACCAATGTTGACGCAAGCCGCCATTACTGCTTTAGACATATTGGAACAAAAACCAGACATGCTCAAAGAATTAGACGAAAACTCCAAGAAACTTAACAAGTATGTATTTAGTATTTCATAATTATTATATTCATTATTCTATTTATTTTGTACATTTTGTTGGATGAAAACATAAGTATAAAAAAAAACATTTATTAAAAAGTTTTTATTCATTACAAGTTACTTGTATGCTATTAAATTTTATTATCAGTGCGAAATCGTAATAAAATTTGTATTATTCATTATTATACAAGTTGAATGTGTGTTATCTATACTGCTGTTAATTTTCTATGAAAAAAAAACTTATCTATAAGATACTGGCAAACTAAAGTTGCCTTTGACCGTGAAATAAAAAAAAACACGTGCATAAAACGTTTTGTCTTTGTTTCATAAATGTATTTTTTTAGGGCTCTGGCTGAATTAAAACATTTTACATTCCGTGGAAATGAACTTTCGCCGGTAAAACATATTTACCTCAAAAATACGGATAAAACTGATGATAGTACGAAACAATCATGTTTGAGAAAAATCGCAAATTATTGTATGGAAAAAGGCGTCGCTTTCGCTGTTGCTGCATATTTACGAGACGTAGAGGTCAACTGTCCAGAACCTTCCATACGATTGGCTTCCAGTAGAAAATTGAACGACACAAATATCTCTATGATATGCAATTTGTTGGACGAGGCTTATGAAAGTGTGGTTCCAAACAACAAATTACAATCATCCTAGATCCGATTTGTCTATGGTGTTAAAAAGTAACATGTCACAATTCCCGCCAAAATCATTACCGACAATGTCAAATTGTCTATGGTGCATTTAAAACATGTCACAATCCCGCCAAAGTTATTTTAATGTATTTTTCATGTGTTCGTATATTATATATTTTAAGAACGTTAATTTAATATTACTTTTTTTAATATCATATTTTTGAATTCATGGGTATTATTTGATCGCATTTATTCGTTTTTAATTATTTTTGTATTCCATACTATAAGCTTAATTTTTTGCTACATCTAAGTTCTAACCCAGTATTTTTGTATTCTATACATTTCCTTACATTTTTTTTTAATTTAGCTGAATTGTTTTGAAATAAGTTTGTGCATAAAATCTTTTTATGTCAAATTTTACTAAGATCTTTAGTAGTTAGTTTTGACATTTGGTCATTTTAGGACAGTTAGATCAATATTTAAGATGCACTTTTATATTATTTTGTGCACATAATTTATCTACATATTTTATATATTCACGATAAAAGTTAATATTCAGGTCAACATTATAAAAATTGTTTATAGTTTAAGTATTCGGTATGAAAAAAATTAAAAAATGTTTCAATATTATGGCGTTTTATTTTTTACCTATTAGTTTGATTCATTTTACACTTATAATTATCAGATTGGCTCTAAACTCTGTTGCAAACTAAACAGCATCTAATATTTCTATGCATAAAATTGTGAAAACCTACTCCTAAGTCTAATTTCATACAACAATAATTTATATTTTCTGTTCACTATGAAAAGAATATTTTCAAAATGTCAGTTGACAACACTGAACCATAGACTATTCCGGAACATAGAGTTTATTCCGGTACCAATTCATTCGCTACATGGCAGTAACCGATGTTGCGTTTAAACTCTGTCTCGTTCGGTCCGTGCAATGGTTTGCGTATCTCTATCAGTCGCCTGTCCGTCTCCAAAGCCTGGTTCTTGTACTCCAAATCCTTGATCACGCGCTGATAGTGATTGTACATTCCGTGGTATGTTGTCCTGGTATAAAAATCAAATGTATGACTAAACGTTTTGTTTATTTTACTTTTATTAGAACTTTTTTGTGTATTTCTAAGTAACCACTATAATAAACTTACAATGCTTCCTCCAGTTTTTTCTCCAACAAATTAGAACTCGTATGAACCCTTTCATATTCTTCGATCAGACCGCGCATAGGTTTATCCTTTAAAAGAATTGAAAGCAACATAAAGTAAAACATTACATATTGACAAAGTATCTGTCAGTTAAATTGGATTGCTTTTTGAACTGATCTATCCTATCCTTAGTTTTTAAAGTTAAATAATTTAGTTAATTAACGTTACCTGAACTCTTCCGAGTACCGGTCTGCGCGTGCGCATCTCTAATCTCGTTTCTACCAACTTTGTCGGATTTATTTTGTCCGCGACCGCCGCTCGCAGACACTCTATCTCTCTATCTACCTTTTGCAAGTTTGTTTCTAACTGAAATAAGAAGGAATTATGTGCGCAGTTAAAGAAATAAATTAATCTTAGTACAACGAAGGAGCGATGGGCTGAAACTAGGCGATATCTACACCGAAGGAACTACAATAGGATTAACGAGTGTAGACCTTTTTATTTCGTTTTACCAATATGTTTTGTGCAGGCGTATTTACTATATAAACGCAACGATATTGAACCTATAATAGTTACCTTACTCTTCTGCCATTCCATTTCATTCCTAGCCCTTTGTATATCATAGACACGTCTCCTCATGAACATCTCAACTTCCTGCGACTGCGCGTACATCTGGTTCTTGGCTTGCTCCCGACTCTTAAACATTGTCTCTCTTAGCTCTTTAGATTCTGTCATTAATTGGTTGGCGATTTTTATCGTATTCTCAATACAATGCACGTAGCTCTCTTCAGACATTGATCTAGATCAAAGAAATACGGACGATACAGATACCAACTTAAGGTGGGACCCCATTACGAAACACTTGCATTAAACATTTCAACAATCAGTGATAAAAATATATTTCTCCTAAAGTGTTTCGGCAGTGGATCCCGGTATTAAAAAGAACGACAGTAATAAGTAAATATTTGACAAAACAAAGAGAGTCGAAACAAGAGTGAGTCGAGGATACTTGAACTACTAAAGCCTGATCGATTTTGTAATTATCGCATTACTTACTCGGCGGGAATTCTTGTTGGGTCAAGTTGGTACGAAATATTAGAACATTCTCTATTCAAATCTTTAACATTGTATTCCAGTTGCAATGTTTCATCTTTATTTTGTATCTCTCGATCCAGTCTACAGAAGACATTCTGTAACTCCTTTATCTTCTCCCAGCCCATGTGACAAACGTCTGTTAAAACGCGCTTGCTATTCTCTATTATATGGAGTTCCTAGAAGTTTATTAACAAATAAATCGTAATTTCGTTTTATTTATTTAAATAAACGGCTTCTGCAATTATTGTTATAGCTACAAGATACAGTCGCACTCTACTAGACGCGACCCAAGTTAATGTCCAAAATCTCTCTTATAAAATTCACTACATACTTAAAGGATAACATTTAACGAAAAACCTTTTTACCTTCCTTAATTCTTCGCCTAACTGATCTGTAGTTAATTCAGGAGGGACTCTTTGGTCCCTATTCGAGAAACACTGAGACACCACCATCAACGGCACCTGCAAATATTCTAAAAGTAGCTCCGTTGAGTTCTTTTCTTCTCTTAAAACTCTAATTTCGTCTCGTACACATTCGCGAGTAAACCTTTGTTTCTCACGCCAAGACTGTACTTCGAATATCCTGAAAGTATATACATAAATTTTAGTTACGCAGTTTCTTATCCATTTTACAGAGTTTTGTATTTGTACCTGTCTCTTAACATCTCATTATTCATGTAGTTATCCCAATGTGTGGTAACGGATGTTTCATTACGAAGCTGATTTGCCCTCTGTCTCAATTCGTACGATTCAAACCTTCGCACCCTAGCTTCATTCTGAAGTCTTTGAATATTTCGTGTCCAATCTAATACGGTGACCTTTGGATGAGGTTTTTCAAAAACGGGTATAGACGCGTCCATTTTTACAAATTAAGTTTATTGTAAACTTATCGGCTAATGCTTCAGTTCTATAATAGTTCCTATTAAAGTTTGATCAATACAGGAGTTGAAGGTTGAACAATATTATTGATTAAATGAAATGTTATAAATTACAACATGTTATTAAACATCGTAAAAGTAGGAGAAAGTTACATTTCAAAATTTAAATTATTAATATTGCCTAAATTGCTTTCACAATTTGTTACTGTTTTATTGGATTTATAATTTCTTCAATTTTCGGTTGTCTTATTGTATAATTGCCCAAATTTGATTGTTATTTAACTATTAATAAAATGTAACATTATTGAGTATAAATAATAAAAATTTGCAATAAATAGGTTTAATCGACGACGACACGCGACACGTCACCATCTTAAAAAAGGAGCTAGCAACATAAAAAATACCATAGAGAAAGAGTATTTTGATTGTGAATAAGACGTAAATTAATTAAAAAATATGGCGACTGTTAGTAACTTGAACTAAAATTTAATGCTTCGCCAAATAGTCTTATTGTTTTAGTGATAATTTAGGTAAAACGGTAGACAAGTAGTATAAAATTTGTTTAGATATCAGTGACTTCAAAATAATCAAGGAAAACTGTGATTTAAGTCACATATTCACCTATCAAAATGTAAGTTGTTGAATTTTACAAATTTGATTTTAGTTTGAGCTATGTATACTTTATGCTATGACTGCTGTTAGGTATGACGACAGACGTGGTGGGCGTGGAGGAGGACGTGGTATGAGCCGCGGCCGCGGCGGTGGCAGGGGAGGGTCCCGCGGCGGCCGGTCTAGCGATAGATCAGAGGAGAGAGGCGGTCGTTTCGGGTCTAGTATGCGCGGCCGCGACGGGGGCAGAGGAGGGAGGGGATTCGGAGGCCGCGGGGGTGGTCGCGAAGATTTCAGGAGCTTTAAGAACGATCAACCTGGCGGCAACTTACGGAAAATACGTTGGGAGTCGATTACACTGACGCCATTCCAGAAAAACTTCTATGTCCCCCATCCGAACGTTCAGAGACGCTCGCCTGCCGAAATCGAAGCTTATCGCAGTGAGAATCAGATTACGGTGAAAGGTAGGGATGTCCCGGCACCGAGTATGTACTTTGAAGAAGGTGGTTTTCCAGATTATGCTATGAAAGAGATTTTAAAGCAAGGCTTCCCACATCCAACCCCTATCCAGGCACAAGGATGGCCTATAGCATTGTCGGGACGAGATCTGGTGGGAATTGCTCAAACAGGGTCAGGAAAAACATTAGCATATATTTTGCCAGCCATAGTGCATATCATCAATCAGCCAAGGCTACTGAGAGATGAGGGGCCCATTGTGTTAGTGTTGGCACCCACCAGGGAGCTTGCACAACAAATTCAACAGGTAACATTTTGATTTTGTGGAACATTTCTTTTTTTAATTTTTGATTGAGTCTAAGGAATCATAAGGAAGATTTTGATTTGTAGGTGTAACATTGCCAATATTGTTGCTCATTAAAATACAAAAAAAGTTAATTTGAAATTCATTGGCTGGCTAAATCAAAACGAGTTGTTGACTTAGAGCCTTGTGCATTTTTAAGCAAATTGTATATGAATATCTTACTAGCTAGCTGTAACCTTATATTTCTTTTAATGCTACAAAAAAACCAATTCGAAAATTTACATCAGCAATACTTAAGTCAAGCATAATAATGATCATACAGAAATTAACTTCATAAGTATATTAACTCTGTTCTCATATTAGTTGTTAAGGTTTTTGTATAAAATAAAATAAAATTGTAATTTATCTTTCACCACGCACAAGGCTCTGATTGCAATGAACGGGACCGCAGCTGACATGACGGATCCCAACGACTGCGACATAGTAAATTCAAGTTTTAATCTTAATTAACGTAGAACTTAGCAACACTGACAGGCTATGTTCGAAAACCTTTACAGTATAACTGTTTTAGAGTTTTATAGTTGTGTAATATCAAAATTCGAAATTATTTTTTTAAGTTGGTTTCTGAACGTAACCTTTGATTAGTTTCAGCACTTTGGGTTATTTATTTAGCTTGTTTTCAATGTTTTATTTTTCATTATTCATATATTTTTTTTAGGATTCTGTATTAAAATTATACCATTAGTTATAAAATGTATATGCAATCACAATTCTTATTAGTAGCAGTCTTATTAGAAAAATTCTAGATTTTAGCAATTTGGGAATTTATTATTTACAATAAACTTAATCTTAATCTATATAGTGTTTAATCTAGATAAGTATAGTGTAGATAAGAAGGGATTGTTTCCTATGAACGTTAGTTCATCCCTCCCTCCATTCTTTCTCTATAACACTTTTTTTTTAATTATAATGTTGGATATTTTAATTAAATTGTATTGGTGTAACTTGATCATTTGTCAAGATGAAGATCAATAAAAAGTTTAAACTTAATACGGAATCCATTTGTTCAATATGTTAACTTTGCTGATTTTTTCTTATTATTTAGCTTAGTTTGTTTTTCTTTTTGTTTTCCCTCAACTTTAGTTATATTTTGCTTTATTTAAAGTAGATTGTAGATTTTTTAGCAGCACAAGCTTTTTATTTGTTGATACCAGTATTGTGAAGATTTTTATAATTGTTTTTTTTTTAGGTAGCAACAGATTTCGGTCAGAATGTTCAAGTTCGGAACACATGTATCTTTGGTGGTGCACCTAAAGGGCCGCAGGGGAGGTCGTTGGAGCGCGGTGTGGAGATAGTTATAGCTACACCTGGAAGACTGATTGATTTCTTAGAAAGAGGTAATTTGGATTATGAAATTTTATGTTTTAACAGTTGTAATATTAATTACAATTATTGTAAAATTATTCACGAATGTGAACCAAACTGTCAAATCTCCATTGTCTAATTATATGTAAAATAAAATATACATCCAATATGTATGGTGAAAACATTCACCTTTTCCTTATTCACCTCAAAAGAAATCGAGATTCCTTTCTTAAAATAATTATATTGTAATTTGGAAGAAAGTTAATGTAGTAACCTTTTTTTTTGTTTTTCTTTGATAGATACAACGAACCTACGTCGTTGCACATACCTTGTGCTGGACGAGGCAGACAGGATGCTGGACATGGGCTTTGAGCCACAGATAAGAAAAATTATTGAGCAAATTCGACCTGACAGACAGGTATTATATATTATTGGATTTTTTAATATTTTGAAAAGAAAATCGTATTAGAGACCTGATATGACATTGCTTAAAATGACATCCGCTATAGCAATCAACACTGTTAAGATCCTTGTTTAATGTACAACTGTTTAAAAATTATAAAGTTTCTCACCTATTCTACACTATAGGAATTTTATCGACTTTGAGTATGGAAGTAACGTTAATTTTCTTTAAAATTTACCTACAATTCTATTTCTTCAAGGTCCTCATGTGGTCAGCAACATGGCCCAAAGAAGTACAGAATCTAGCCGAGGAGTTTCTACATGACTACATCCAGATCAACATTGGCTCACTGTCCCTCTCTGCCAACCATAACATCCTGCAGATTGTGGATGTGTGCGAGGAGTGGGAGAAAAATGAAAAGTTATTGACGCTGCTCAATGAAATATCCTCTGAAGAGGAAACCAAGACAATTATATTTGCAGAGACAAAGCGAAAGGTATGTTTTAATATTTAAGATGTTTTGGTGTCCAATTTGCTTTTTATTCTTTAAATAAAGCAAGTCTTGCTATGTGCAACCATAGCTTTATTTTATGTCTGAATGTTGTGATGCAAATTATATAACACCTCTACCAACCTCTAGGTGGATGACATAACAAAAACAATAAACCGGGCCGGATGGCGTGCTCTAGCTATCCACGGGGACAAGAACCAGCAGGATCGGGACTACGTGCTCAGTCAGTTCCGTATGTCTAATGGCGGAATTCTGGTCGCCACAGACGTCGCCGCCAGAGGTCTAGGTATGTTTGTCACTTTACTACATACGGGGAAACTTTGAATATTAACATTACGGTCAAATATGTAGTCACTGTTATTGCCCAGAAGTTGATTATCTTGTGTTTGTGCCACCTTTGCGTGTAAAAATAAAATAAAATTGAGATGCTGTTGGAACGGTGGTGAATTTATTCCCGCCCATAGATATATTTTATTTCATAACGGCATCAAACAGAAGATTCTGCATGTACAGTTGCGAGGTATTTTCGTGTCTCGTTATGTAAAGGTGCTAAACCATCTCGCGCTGTTACCCGGGGTGTTTTTAAGGTCTAAGAGAAAGTCAGGAGCGTAGAGTAAGGTAATGATGCCATTGCTGATTGTGCACCCAAACTGTGCCCCCGCTGGTCGCACGACAAATAAAAAGCGAACACTCCCGTTGAAGAATTGAGTACATGTTGCAAATTATCATTAATCAAAAATTAATGATTCATGAGTCAATGATTAATGATTCAATTTTTTTGTAAGTGGGATGTTTTCGTTTAATTGATTGTTTGGAAGCAATATCAAGAAATAATTATTTGTTCCAGTATTCACACGTCTGATACTGAATAAAAAAAACATCATTAGTGCATTATTATTATGTACAGAAAAAACTGTAAAAAAATAGACTTTAAGTGTTTTTTAGCATCTATTACTTTAAATGAATTAAATAAAGGTGAATATTGGAATATGTTGAATTAAAGATAGACAAAGCAATGGCCCTAACCATTAGGAATGTTCTTTTTAGACATCAATGAGGACCTTGTAAAACAATAAAACAACTTAGAAAAGGTAAGAAAATGGTAATTTTAAAGTAAACATTTAAAGTTACCATTTCTTTACTTATCCTAAGCAATATTATGTGTTGAATTTTTAACACAATATGGTGAATAACTAACATGAATACTTCTTTACTAATAATATAAATATTTTGTTCTGGATAAACTTAAAAAAACTATTAAATATCAAGTTTTTTTTTTATTGATATCACTTTATTATATTTTATCAATGTGTAAAGTCTAGATTTATTTTATAATAATGATCAAGGCATGACCGAGTTATGTTTATAAAGTTGTATTAGGATAATATGGTGTATTGTTAAGATATTTCTACAAGGTTCTCTAATGCATCTAAATAAATAAATTTCCATGACGTAGACTCGGCATTATTATGCATTATGTTTTTATTTCAGAGGCGCATGCAGAGATATGGGCTAGTCTTGCGGTGTGTTGCTGAATTCATTTAATGATATTGTGATTTTAATGATTGCAATGATTGAATCATCAAATAATGATTAATGACAGTCACCTGTCAGCGCACACTGTGTTTTGAGCATGCAGCCTCTATAAATGAAATTCATTTGGTCTTTATTTGAACAAAATAATAAATTTTCTTAAATTGGTTGATAATATAAAATTAATAAGACCAAATTTTTTGATAAAAATGCTTGGGTAATGTGTCATGAGAGATTTAATGAACTAACTAAAGGGCCTGCCCTACGCCACCTGACCTAGTCATGTATACGAGGTGTAGGAAGACTTAAAGCACACCGCTGGACTCTTGGCCTACAACACTCCGGAACCACTGACGGGCATTTACAGTTATTTCCAGCTGTTCCCATTGTCTCCGGAGGTACTTCATACAGGTAACTATTTTATATAGACTAATAAACTATCATTTTGTTGCAAAAAAATGGTTTGAATGTTATTTTTTATTATAATTCCTTTTGCTTTCTTTTTTTTATTTATAAAAGTATCGTATTATTTGCTTTTAATGTTAGTGTTTGTGGTTATAAAGCGTACATAGTGGATTCTTATGTATATCAACAGTTTGTATATACATTTATATATTAGATAGAGCTATATTTTGATGTGAAATATGGTGACAGATGTGGAGGACGTCAAGTTTGTGATAAACTACGACTACCCGAATAACTCTGAGGACTACGTGCATCGTATCGGTCGCACAGGACGCTCACAGAATACTGGCACTGCCTACACCCTCTTCACACCATCCAACTCCGCTAAGGTAACACACGCATTTTTTTATATTATAAGACGGCAAACGAGCGAGCGGTCACCTGAAATCGCTGAAATAGCGAAGTGACCGTTGCCCATAGACATACGCAATTGCATATGCGTTGCCTACCTTTCATCGACGGAGGAGAGGATGCACAGAAAGAAAATATTTTCCCTTCACATGCATCCTCTCATCCGGAAAGTCCACTTCCACTTCCCATCCTTTCCTTATAAGAAAAAGGGTGGGAAGGGAAAGAGAACTAAAAATAGACTTTTGGGACGCACATTCATAAGATTGTAGATGGAATTTCCTCCACTTGACACCAATCTTCAATATGGTCGTGCTATGTAACCAGAGGAACCTGCCAATTCCTGCAAACATGTTAAAGCGGACTCTACCACTGTTAATAAGCAAATCTTAAATATTTCACTTTACATTTATTTATACAAGAATGTTGTTTGCAGGCCAAGGACCTGATGTGTGTGCTGCAGGAGGCCAACCAAGTGGTCAATCCTCGTCTGCTGGAGATGGCCCAGTGCGGTATGGGATTCAAGGGGAAATATGGTAAATATCGTTATTTGTTTTTTAAAACTGACTTTACTTGATACATGGCGGGATTCGAACCCAGGACCTGCAGATTACAAATACTTAACCACTGAGCCAACGACGCTTTATACTGACTGTTTTAATATGATAAATCGTAGTTTGTGGAAATTAATATTAATTATAAAATATAATTTGGCAGGTCGCAACCGTTTCCGTGACCGTGATGAGGGCGAGCGCGGCCGCTCTGACCGCGGCAGGGGACGCGGCCGCGGCGGCAGGTTCGGGGACAGAGGTAACATCATACATCTATACATAATAACATTGCTCTGTCTGTATGTAATAGAAAAAATTCTATTTGTGATGTCATAGTTGATGATAAAAAATATTTTATTGAAATCTTTTGTCTGTATATCTGTCCACAAAGTCATGTTTGTTCCGGGTTAACACCGGAACAATTGTACCGGACCGATTTTGATGGGACTTGTACGGAAAAATAGCTGATGAACGCGGATATGTTATAGGCTTTTTTTCTGTGTTAACGAAGTCGCGGGCGACCGCTAGTCATGTAAAAAATACTACAGTAATTTTCAAAATCACTAGTAAAAATTATTCATATTTATTTAATTTTCAGGTTCCCGTTGGGATGAGAACAGTTCAAGCAGTTACAGCCAGGGAACCAGCTTCAATCGGCAAGAGGGATACAACACGCGCCAGTCTGACACACGACAGTTCAACAACCGAGAAGGAGGTGGGTTCAACCGAGAGAACTCTGGTTCGTTCAGAGGCCGCGGCGGGGGACGGGGCAGGGGCCGCGGGTTCAACCACGGAGATCAGACTCACCAGAATCAAAACTTCAGCGTTCCTCCCCCCACTTCTTATTACAATATGTATTCTCAACCGCCGCCCGCAAAATAAATCTATTTTATATACAGTAGTTATATTAATTCAAGTATCCGCTGTCTGTGTGTTTTCATGGACGAAAACATTATATAACAACATGTCTGAACATAATATATGTTTAATATAAGTGCATCTGCAGTGAAATTTTCATAGCAATGTAATTCTAGACATAATTTGTAGACAGAATGTTATTTTACATTATAAAGCTTTTTTTATTTGATATCCATATAAAACTAACCTTTTATAAGCAACAGCTAAGGCTTTTTTTTTTGGCTTTTTATAGATAAAAAAGTTCAATTCTTTCAGTAGTTAAATGAAACCAGAATATTTTTTTCGTAATTAAAATATAAATAGATTTCTCTGTCTACAAATTTGATTATCTTTTATTCTAGTAATATAGAAACATACTCTGTGGGTAGTATATGTTAGTTAATATTCAATTATCTGATATTTCGCAATTGGACAATTTTATTAGTTATAATAATAAATTTAAGAAATAGTGAAACTGTTAATACTTCTCACATTCAAGAGTTTTGAAATATGTTTAAAATATTTAAGATTTTATTTTATTCACTCCTGTAAAATTAGTATTAAATACTTAATTAACTTTATAATCAAGATATTTTGTAAATCTATGTCAAATTGAGGGAGAAAGTAACATCTCGTAAAAGATATGATTGCATAGTTTCATTGAATAACTTTGTTGAATGGATCTAAATATTTGTCATACGTTTTCATTACAAAACTTTACAAAAATAAACATAATTAAAAGTTGCTATGTAATTATTAAATTGGTTTAAAAAGCTAATTTAAAAAGATTTTTAAATTAATAAATGATCCACTGTTAATGTCAGATGCATTTAAAAATCATGAAAGTGGAAAAAATGTATGTTAAATCAGTTAGACATTCCTACATTGTTGCAATGGTTCAAAATGTCCGCTGTATTGAAAATGTGCAATTTACCAAATAAATTACTATAAATAATTATATTGTTTTAATTTACCTGCGAATTCCTATATTGGTAAGTTTTATCTCATTTATTTCCAACTCAGCCACCTTTAGCATGGCTACTAAAAGTCTGTAGAGCCGGTTTTAATATTTCCGGCGCCCTGGGCGAAATACATGCGGCGCCCCCTTTTTTTGTTTCGGCAGAAATCATCCAAAAAAAAGGGTATCATAGGTGGCACCCCAGGCGCCCAGGGCGGTCGCCACATCTGGGCTTACCCTAACGTCACTTGTTAAGGTCACACCTATGCTTAAAATTTTTTATATTTGAATAAGACATGAAAAAATCATTTTTTACTGGCTATGTTAGTTTGGAAACAATTGTGTGACAATGCAGGTTATGTATTAAAAAAAAACAATAACATAATTTGTTTATTCGCTTTATTCCTACAACATAAATTATACAATTGCATAACCACAAACATTTGTACAATGTCAAGATACATACTTTATTTAAATAGCTTATAATTTGTTGACATACTATTCTAGCTCAGACATAGACTGGGAAAACAGTATTTAACTGCATTTCCACCACAAAAACATCTGTTTAAAAACATTATCTTTGTTTCTCAAAGAAAATATGATGACAAAATGTTTTATGCAGCTGTTTAGCAGTGGAAACCTACAGAAAACCTGTATATAAGGTCATCCCTGAGTTGTGAGTGTTTAATATATGGAGCAGGGTTTTATTCCTGTCATCTTGACATCATACAAGTTATGACCAGTTTAGTGGTGGGCCTCAGCAGCCTTGTTCTCCGGGTCAACATAGTCCAGTTGCTCCTCAGGGTTGTGGGGCCAGAAGGTAGGTCTGTTGATGGGATCTAGCGCCAAATCTGGGTATGCGTCGCGGAAGTCCTCCATCGTCATCTGGTCATATGGCAACAGAGCCTTGATCTCTGCAACTTCTTTCTCAAAGCTGAAAGAAAAAAACATATACACAACAGATAAATACTCATGAATAGAGAGATAATTATATTATATATATTTCTTTGGTACCAAAATTTTCTAAATTCGAAAGAAAAACTCTTCACACTTACGTAGCAATATTAGCATTGGACTGCTGCACAAATTGGTCAATAGCTTTCTTGACTTGGCTCCACTGGGCATCAACCTGGGCACTCATGGTGTCTGCTGGGTAGGGGATCTTGAGCGCTTCATATTCCTTTTGGAATTTGTCCACCATGCCGGGGATGGGCACCGACTGTTTGTACACACTCCAGTTGATCGCTGGAGGTTCAGGAGGGTTGGCCAGCACTCTGGAATGTTTTGAAAGGTTAAAATTAATATTATTAAAAATTTATTACTTATTTTATGTGTGTAGGAAACACAAATGATCAGAATTACTTGATATTGAAGCTTGTTTATATATGTATAAACAAATATATGTGAGATTTATAGTATTTTCAAGTTATTGCTTTTGTTCAGATGAATTTAGGGACCTTTATATAAAATTGATTGATGGATTTTATTCAAGATGTAAGCTCACTTCTGTTATTATGGTAATTTTTTTTATTGACTTAGTTCCGTTCAGCGTAGATGAAACATAATCAAGTAAAAGTTAATTTGATGAATAGCCTACGATGATAATACGAGAAATAATGATTTTAGGTAAAATTGTTATTAATCAAATAGTACTTTTTGTGTAAAATATTAGTTAAATCAAAAGATATTCGTATTATGGGTAAAAAAATACGAAGTGGAATTAAATACATGATAAAAATTATGTAACGTTCTTGTCAAATACTAACCTACGAAGGTATCCGTCGGACTTGATCTTGAAAGCGGCGAGGTAGACTTTCTGCTCGGCTGGCACCCTCTCAGCCAGCGCTGCCCAGTTTACGGAGCTCTGTGCTATTCTTTTCGCCATGTTGAGGCTTCAAATTTTTAAAATCTAGAAATTAATGAGCACTTGGCACTTGTCATTCGCAAACAGATAATGACAATCAAGTTAGTGTTACCATTTACATTAAAATGAACCTAACAGTGTTACTATTATTAAAACAAAAGTTGCCATAGGTTCAAAATTATAAAAAGTTGAAAAAAAATCCTGTTTTGTTTCTGAAGCCTTTCATTATTGTATGAAAAAACTTTCCATCCTTACAATCTTTTGATCAAAATGTCTCTCTCATTTACAATGATGCTATTTTCTCGCTTATCCAGGTTCGACTGTTAGGTATTGTCGTAAAACTTGAGATCACTTCTTTTTTTGGATATTCTACAGCAACGGTTTATTTTTATTTTCGTTGCTTATTTATCGCCGTAATGGTGTAGGTGCATGAAGGTTACCTAGCTATTTTATTTTAATTTATAAGATACTGTGCTTACCTTAATTATCGCTCTATCATATAATTTCGTTTTTTAAAGTTTCGGACTTAATGCTAGTGCCTTTCCCCTAAGTACGTAAAGGGTAAATAGCACTGTATTCTATAAATGGACGGATTATCAAATAGGTATTTAAAAATGAACAACTTTATACAAATACATTTATTTACCTTTGGTATGAATTACATTAAATGCTAGAAATAAATTACAACATAACCTAAGTATAATATATTTATTTCTATTAAAGTAAATAATAATGATTGCTGGTTATATTCGTTACAATTAAATACAATTATGATAATTAAGTTCTAATTGACTTTTTCATATCAGTCTTGGCAAAGTTGTTAAATATGTGAAGGGTTTAGGGAGAAAAGACGTTAAGAAAAACAAAAATATTAGATACAGAATTATTCTTAATATTACAGCCCAAACTGGATAATTAAGAGTTTAAGGGTCCGCGATATTTTCTCGCGTATGGAGGTCATCCGACAGAACCAGAATATGACTCGCTTATATAAGTTTCTCATATAGAAGTTTTGATTGTATAGGAGCTATCGTGAAACCGTTTAGGCATTCATTGGTTGAGATTAGAAATTGCAAATTATAATACCTAAGGAGTTTTTGCTATTTTAGAATTAATTCGTTTATTAATATTTTACCAATCATCTTTATAAATGATATCGCCTTAAGAATAAAAGAAAAAAAAAGTAAAATGTTTGTCATAAGTGTATTAATTAAGTAAAAAATTATGAAACATATTGTTTTTGGTCAGTCTATAGTTTATAATAAATATTTGGTAGTTTTTGTTAGAATTCTAACCTCTAACGGAATGTTCTTTACAATTTACTATTATAACATCGATAGTCTACAAATGGTTTAGTAAAATGCAAATTAAAAAAAAAAATACCTTCGAAATATCAGCGATGATAAATTATGTTTTCGCACGAATTAAAATCATAACCTCTTTGAAGAATTGGCTCTTATTTCAACAGTTTTTTTTTTAATTTGAACAATATTCTTTTTTTTTTTTGATTCAGCACAGAAATTGTCAAAAAGCATTTGGAATACCTAAAATTATTTAAATAATATCTTTACGGTGAAATAACGTTTAATTTAATAAAAAATAACCATAAACTCTTTGTTTTAATCATTTTTAAATTAATACGTTTGGTTTACGTATGGTTTCACAATAATTTAAATTGCCTTTGGTTAAGTTATTGGTATGCGTGATAATTATTATAAAATTTATTTACAATATTTACAAACTCTAACATAAGTTAAATTCATAACTTTGTTGGTTGATTATTCAGAGGATTTCTTTTCTCCACATAATTTGGTGAATTCGAGGAATGTCCGACAGTTCGACTTCCCCACGTCGTTCTTTTTGTCACTGGATTGTTTTTGCAGAATTTCAAAAGGTTGCCATACGCCGCTCTATATTGTCTGTTGGTTGCCGCGTAGATGAGCGGGTTGACGACGCTGGAGGCCCACGCCAGGATGGAGGCTATGATGTGCAGCCAGGGGTAAGTGATGCCATCATCGGTGACGTTCATTATCATTAGTGGGAGAAAGCAGGCGAGGAAACAGAGGAATATTGTAAGCATTAGAGTTGTCAAGCGAGAATCTTCTTCCTTTTCTCTTGCAGTTTGGCCGCTCAGCTTGCTGTAAATAAATATAAAACAGTTAATTTTGGTAATTATGGCGTGAATTATAGGAAGAAAGTGTCGTGAGTCATAACTTCAAAAATATTTCAATTTAATTTTCTATTTTTCTTCTCACTTAAGTCTGACAACACACGTTATTGACATTTCTATATCAGTGTTGACATCGTTTTCTCCTACCATTAACAATATTATCTGTGGTAAACAAATTGATTGCTCACCCACATACACACCTGCGGCCCTCAAGCTTCCTCTTGCTCTCGCGGACCCGCCAATAGATGCAGGAGTAGGAGACGATGATGACGACACACGGCAGCGCGAACCCGAACACGAATAAATACTTCTTAGGCGATAGTCCGTCCTTCGGCAGGATCGTGCACGAAAACGTGTCGTGCTCCAAACCCAGCTGGCCCCATACACCCAGCAGGGGAGGGATCTGGACAAATATATTTGAAATTAATATCGTACCCATGACCGACCTTTATTTATTTGTATCCTTATAAATAATAATACATCCCGCATATCTTAATCTTTTAAATTACGCGGCAATTACGCCTCAACTGATTTACATATACATAAATGAACACACGAACCCCCAGTACGTTTTCGTTTGGACCTCACTCGATGACAGCTATGAATAAAACAACAGACTATAAAACTCACGACCCCGCGACGTTACCGAACGAAACAATTGAGGCGAATTGTTGCCACTCTCCGACAAACACCCACATACTCGGCAATTAAATGTCAGTTGTAAATTAACTAAAACCTCGTAACTTTTCACACTCTATTGCGCTAATGTGTCAAATTAAAATTGTGATGAGTATTATTCGTAGTAATAAATTTTAATTTGTATTAATTAGTAGAAAGAAATTGTCTCCGAATAAGTGAAACCATAAAGAACTCAAAACTTGTTTTTCAATTTGCTTGGTTAAAGGCAAATATATATAATCTTAGTCCTGGTCCTTAGAAAAATGAGCATGAGGATCGTCCATATAAACGAAAGGGTTTTCCACACCTTAGGACACAAGCATCAAAATATATTTTTTCTATGACACGTGGGTGTGAAGTAAGGGCAAAGATGATACTCCGACTTGTAAAAAACGTTTCGAAACCTTGCAGGAAATATAAAAGTAAACGTACTAAAATTAAATAATAATAAATAATTATGTAAATGCGCGACTAGCTCCACTAATAAACAACACGGATGCTTCCTAATTCGGGACAATTAAACGTGTATCATAACTATGGCGGTGCAATGAACCAATTCCGACTTCCCGCCCTCATGAATGTTTAACGTTCATATGCATGATGCGAGCTTTTACTTAACCCATCACATTATTTCTAATACGGACAATTTTTAAAATAAAAAGCCTTTAAAGATAACGCAATAAAGATAACATACTCATTTTGTATTAAAATATTTTTTTGTCATTTTGTAGGCGTGCGTCTGGATTTTAATATAGAAATGCGTATAAATTAGTTTGTAAAAATCTAAAAATAACTGTCAGATAGATAAAATATTGTTTGTAAATAGCGACTTAGGCTTACCACAAAAGTAAATTCAGGATTGTTAGACTAAATAAAGTTAATCAATGTATTCCTTGCCTTGCATTATTAAGTATGCGTTGCGCTGTTTGACATTTGTTTTTTTTTTAATTTAATCCAGAGCAAGTTTTAAACGGTCCGGCCTCTTGACTCACAATCGAAGCACTTGCGTTCGGAAACGCACACTTAACGCGGTCTCGTAGTTTTATATTTTCTTTTATGAATCATTACGATGTGACTAACAAAATGTAAAAGGATGTTTTTGACTTTTTAATTTATTTGTTTAGTCTCCGATTCTAAAACGGGAAGTCGTCATTTTATGGGAATGTTGCGTACCGCTGACTAATTGGCCGCTAATATTTTTTTTTCTTAATTTTTTATGTCATTTGCGATCGGAATTATTTCACAATATGGCTGCCCTACACTGATGCTAATACTTGAATTATTATATAAGATTGAGTTTGCAGATGGATTCTTGTGAGGCGATTGGCATATAAATAAATTGATAGTATCGGTCGACCATACTACTATATTAAAGAACGTAATTGAGAAATACTATTGACAATTTTTTTTTTATTTATGCATGTTGCAAAAAATTGCCACCGAATAAGGTCAAAAATTAATTCTTTAAATATAGCATTAGAAAATTAGGCATCTTCATGAGTTTGTGAGTTTTTTACTTTAAAAATTAAAAAGCTAATGTTTTTATCAAATTGTATGTAGAAATTTTATATTCATTAGACGCTACGAATGCTATTAGTAGCGTATTAATATCTTATTAATAATTTCTAAGTGTCATTGCAACGCGGATATACATCGTTGTGTTATCTGATTGTCGCTTTAGGACAGTTTTAATGAATAATTAAATGGATTTGATTTATTGATGGTTTACACACAGCTAGACGGTTAAGTTAGGATACGATTAGACCTTTTAAATAGAGAACATACAATCTTAATTTTAGTCTATGTGCAGAAAGAGATTCAAAGAGAATAAGTAAACCGTACGATGCGTAGACGTTTCAGTTATCCGGCAAAAGCACATTTTATTATTGTGGTGGTACGTACCCAAATGGCGTTGTTTGTGAGGTTGGTACGCATTCAAATGTGTGTATGTTGGTACATACCATAAGGCCGAAGGAGACGAGCCAGATGAGTAGCAACTGGATCCATATCTTGGTGCTGGTGTAGATCTGCGAGTACATGTCGTAGTACGCTATCAACGTGTACCTGACAACAAGCAAAATAATCATGTCTATTTATATAATTAAAAATAACTGATGTTAAATAAAAGATGTTTCATGAGGGATGTAAAGATAAAGGTAATTTGATTGTTTTTAATCGATAAAAGTAATATAAAAACAGAGCGTCGGTGGCCCAGGGGTCAAGCACTTGACTTGCAATCTGCAAGGTCCTGGGTTCGAATCCC